CTGGCGAAGAAGTCTCAGGTGACTTCTACGCTGATCCGGTGGTTACTTACCATCGCGGACACTCGTGGTCATCGTGTCAGCTGTCTTCACTCCGACCGCGGGGGTGAGTTTTGCTCCGGCGTTCTCGCTGGATTCTGTCGCGAGCAGGGCATTCGTCAGTCCTGGACGTTTCCAGAGTCCCCACAGCAGAATGGGGTTGCTGAGCGCCGCATAGGCTTGGTCATGGAGATTGTCCGCACCTCCTTAACTCACGCCCGTGCCCCCCATTTTCTGTGGCCTTACGCGGTTCGGTACGCCGCTCACCGGCTGAACCTCCGGCCCCGTGTCTCTCGGCCAGAGGTTTCACCGACCAGTCTTTGGACCGGGTCCCCTGGTGAAGCATCGCGTTTTCGTGTCTGGGGTTGCTTGTTCGCGACACCTCCGCGGACAAGATCTCGCCTCGCGCCATTCTCTGTGTCTTCCTTGGTTTCCCAGAGGACTCCTCTGACTTCACCTTTTACCACCCTCCCTTTCACCGGTTCTTTGACTCCCGTGATGTCCGTTTCGACGAGTCCGCCCCCTACTACGTCCGGTACCCCTGTCGAGGTCTCCCGGTTCCCCCTCCCCCTCTCTTCTTGACTTCAGCTCCCCCTCCTGCTCCCTTGGTACAGCCTCCCCCCCCTGGTCCAGCCCCGTCAGGTGTGTCCCACGCTACCCCTCCCCCCTCGGTAGCCCCTCAGGTGCAGCCTCCTTCCCCGCAGTCATCCTCACAGCCTACTGCAGACCCTGCGGGAGCCGGTGTTCGTGGCGAGGAACCTGGAGGTGCTAGCTCAGGAGGAGTTGGAGTTGGAGCTGAGAGCGTACCTGTGCAAGGTCCTGGTTCTGGGGGTGCTCGAGTTGAGGCTGAGCCCGTGCCTGCAGGAGCCTCTAGTCCTCGGGGAGCTGGAGTTAGTCGAGCTGTCCCTGGGGGTGCTACGACTGAGGGTGCGGGTGCACCCACTGCGGGACCTGGAGAGTCTGGGTCTGGCCGCGTTGCTGCTGGTGGTGCTGACTCTGGGGGTGGTGCGAGTAGTGCTTTGGAGGGCGGTCCTGGGGCTACCACCGCCCCGGACACTACTCCTCCCCCCCATCCGTGACGCTACTGCCCGCCTTGCTGTCCGCAACCACCTTCCGCTAGCTGAGAGGGCACATTTTGGCAAGCAAAAGACAGCCAACGACCTCTGACGCCGTTGTCGGTCGTTACTCCTCCCCAGCTACTGCTGCTCTAGGCCGTCTCATGCTGCCGTACCTCTTTCCTGAGCTCGCAGATTTCCAGAGCTCGCAGATTTCCACACTGTTGCTGATCTCATGACCCACATTCGCTCTAGTGAGACTCGCTACCGCGCCGCTCTCAAGCCGACCTTCCTCGTCACACGCCTCGTCAAGCCGCCCTTGACCCCACTGAGCTCACGCTTGCCTCGCAGGAGAAGTACCTTCTCGAGGCTGACACCAGTACTGTCGCTGTCGCTGCCTCTCGTGGCACTCCCCACTCCCCCTTTTTTGAAGGGTGTGCTCCCTCCCCTCTCATTCCCTCAGTTGCCTCTGCTGGCAGCTGGAGCTACACCAGCTGGAGGAGCGGCAGCAGCAGCATCAGGCGCAGCAGCATCCGCTGCAGCAGCAGCAGCAGCAGCAGCAGCAGCAGCCGCAGCAGGAGCAGCCGCAGCAGGAGCAGCAGGAGCAGCAGTAGCAGCAGCAGCAGCCGCCACCTCTGCCTCTTGTCTCTGGTCTTCGTACCCTCGGTCTCCCCTCTCCTTCTCCTCCCCCCTCCCCCTCTCCCCCTGTCTACGGTCCCACGTTTCCTCCTCCTGACTCCGCCCCAGCTGTTTTCCCCCGTTCTCAGCCTCCGTTGTCCCCTCCTCTTCTCACGCTTGGACTTCTCGTTCTCCTCGTGCTCGTCCCTCGTCCCCTGTCCCTCTCACTGACCTTCGTACTGTCCTGTTCCATCCTAGTCCGCCTCGTTCATCGCTGTCTGTGCTTCCTTCTCCCCCTAAGTCAGCCTTCACTGCTTCCCTCTCTACTCCTGTCACTGACTACTACCGCGCGTTCCGTCCTGTTCTCTCTCGTGTTCTCGTCTCTCTTGTTACCGACCCCCGTGCTCCTCTGTCCTCTGTCTCTGCTCTTACTGCCGCAGTCACTGAGTTTGCCTCTACTCGCCGCCTTGGCTACGCCACTAGTCTTGTGGCTGCTCCTCCTACCAGTCCTCTGGCCGTCGGGGGTGCTCTTGGCTGTGACGCCCTAGAGGACAGGCAGTTTGCGCTAGAGTTCCTGGTAGCCGCTTCCCCTCAACTCTGTGCCATGCTGCTCGCCCCTGAGGCAAACCCCGACGCCCTTGACATACCTACTCTTCGCACTTACGCTGAGGCAGTGTCAGGGCCTTGGGCCTCTCAGTGGAGAGCTGCCATGGACTCAGAGATGGCCTCCTACAGATCCACAGGCACCTACGTCGACGATGGTTCCCCCCCTTGGGCGAACGTAGTCGATGGCATGTGGATCTTCAAGGTGAAGCGGCCACCGGGATCTCCTCCGATCTTCAAGGCGCGCTATGTAGCTAGAGGTTTCAGTCAGCGCGAAGGAGTTGACTTCTTTCATACCTTCACGCCTACCCCGAAGATGACCACTCTTCGGGTGATACGGCACGTAGCAGCACAGAGAGACTACGAGCTACACTCTCTTGACTTCTCCACTGCCTTTCTTCAGGGTAGCCTACACGAGGAGGTCTGGTTGCATCATGCGTCTGCCTTCACCGGCACTTTCCCTCCTGGGACCCAGTGGAGGCTGAGGCGACCGGTCTACGGTCTCCGTCAGGCTCTTCGTGAGTGGCACGACACCCTTCGTTCTACCCTGTCTGACCTCAAATTCCAGCCGTCTTCTGCCGACCCGTCGTTGTTTGTTCGTCGTGGCTCCACACTGTTCTTTGTACTGGTCTACGTCGACGACCTGGTTTTCGCCGCTGCTGACAGGGTTGCTTTGGCCGACGTGAAGCGCGAACTGCAGAAGAGACACACGTGCACTGACCTTGGTGAGCTGCGCCACTACCTTGGCCTGCAGATTACCAGCGACAGAGCCGCTTGCACCATTACACTCTCACATTCACACATGGTGCAGCAGGTCCTTCAGCGGTTCGAGCTTCAGCACTCTACAGTACAGCGCACACCTCTTGCTGTTGACCACAGACTCACTGGACCCTTTCCTGACGAGCCGTTTGAGCCTAGTGGTCCCTACGCAGAGCTTGTGGGCTGCCTCATGTACCTGATGACTTGTACTCGCCCTGACCTCACCTTCCCTCTCAGCATCCTTGCTCGTTTTGTTGCGCCAGGGAGACACCGTCCAGTTCACTGGACAGCTGCTGTGAGGGTGGCGAAGTACCTAGCGACGACATCAGGCGTGGGGCTGGTTCTTGGAGAGAGACAGTCTGTCGTACTTACTGGACACTGTGACTCTTCTTACGCTGACGACGCCGAGACTCACAGGTCTACTCAGGGGTACTGCTTCAGCCTGGGCTCTGGAGCTGTTTCGTGGAGGTCCACGCGTTCCTCCTCGGTCTCGACCTCTACCGCTGAGGCTGAGATCTACGCTGGAGCCATGGCTGCACAGGAGGTGTGTTGGTTGACTTTCTTGCTCACCGACCTTCGTGAGCGGCCGAGCTCTGCACCGACCTTGTTCACTGTCAACAAGGCGTCGATTCTCCTCTGTCGAGAGCCGCAACTGGAGAGCAGAGTGAAGCTCGTCAATGTCATGTACTTTCTTCTGCAAGAGTTGCAGAGGCGTGGACAGGCTAGCTTCGACTTTGTGGAGTCCGAGGCCAACACTGTAGACATCTTCACCAAGGCCCTTCCGCCTTGTGACCACCAGAGGTGTTGTGTGTAGTTAGGTCTCGTTGACACAGGTTCTCGCCTTGCGTAGTCTTGAGTTCTCTGCTTGCTTTGTTTGTACGCTTTATATATACCTCTGTGAACTCTTGATTTGGCCTTGTGGCTCTTTTGCTCAGAGTGTGAGGTGACATTGTGATCCACCCTGAGCTTTGTTGCTTTGTGAGTAGTCTTGTGACCGTACGTTGTTGGTTTTGCTTGACACCCCTCACTTAGGCTATGGGGGTGTGTCAGATGTTATAGTCTTAGTGATGTGTGTCATATGGGGTACACAATTTAAGGTTAGGTTTATGTACCCCAACCAACCTTAGTGAAATCATCATTCCGTTCTTGACTGTTACCCCCCCCCCTCCGTCGACGGCGGACTTTGCGTACATGGGGAACGATTTCTGAATCATTTAGAAGTGGGACTACCATTGCTGTTTCCTTTGTGTAGCTTCTCTTAGGTGGCATCTTATCCCTTAACCCATGTACCTTGGTATGTACTTCTTATATGGTCAATAAAGGTGGTCTCAGCCATCTGCCTAGCTATAAGTTTGACAACGTAGAGACTTCTCAAAATGCATCAGGTACTGTAATGCATTTATATGTTAGTGCATTCTCTCAAACTGCGCCACCTCCCCAGAACCACCTCCCCCAGTCAGCCTTGGCGCACACAAAATGCCTTTCCCGCCTTCCTTTTCCCCCTCGCCCAAGTATCCCTCCCCCATCACAAGCCTTTTTCCTGGTTCCCCCGCCCACATCCACTGCGCTTCTTCGCGCAAACTTTTCCAATTCATAGGGATGCTCGGCAGAGAGCAGCCCTTTTCCTTCCCTACCCCTGTCATGGCCTTCCTCTCTCCGCCGACATTTCGACGAGCTCGATCCCGTTTTGTTCCTCCCGAGCCAAGCCGCACCAACCTACTCGTTTGGGTTCTTGCACGGTCGGGCCTTCGTCCTTGACAGCGAGGCTGCGTTCCAACGAGGACTCGTTCGACACTCGGATGAACTCATTGCCCGACGATGCAGGAGGTTTTTTATGTGATGTGGTTGAGATGGCGCTGTGATGCCACATACACACTAACGCTCACACTCACGCTCACAGTGACCCACAAAAACAAAAAACATACACACTCATGTACCTGGTGCAGTCCCGTGCATGTCAAAAGAAGGTCCAAGCTTCACAACGACCCCGCGGAACAGCCTGTCATCATCCACGTTGGTGCCAATGCGCGCCACATAGAGCTGCGTGCTGCACGTCATGATGCGGATGGCGCTCCTCGATGTAATGCCGTTGCGCTGCCGGATCACCAGCAGCTTCTGAATTGGGTCCTGCGATGATGGGATCGTGGATGGGGGACAAAAGATTGTGGAAATGAGAAGATTTTTTTTTTTTTTTTTTTTGTGTGTGTGTGTCTTCTTCTCGTCGTGTCAGTTTGCAAGGCAGAAATGAATTGTGGAAGGGGCACCACGAGTAGTGGATGGTTCTGCTGAGGAAGCTGAAGAAAGCACTGACCTTGAGGTTCCACTCATAGAGATGGTCAATGAACACACACGGCACACCCGGGTGGGTCAGAATGTACACGTAGCTGCACAGCGGAAGGGTGAGGGAGGGGTTTGAGTGCAGGAAGGGTGAGGGAGGGGGTGCAGGAAATGTGGGGGGGTGAGGGAAGGGTGGGAGGTGCGGAACGCAACAAGTGAGCCAAAGCATCCCTGAAGAAACTTGCACTTGCGTGGGAGAACGCGAACCTCCTTTACTGGAAGAGTAGTGAGATGACACGAGAGCACCGATTCAGAAACACGTGGCAGAAGAAGCAGCAAGTACCCCAAACGAATTCGGAAGCAAGAACATGCGGTTTACCAAACAGCCATATTGTACTCTCGGGGTTCCTGACTACAGTAACCACGACGACCTCCATGGCCACCATACAGATCCACGACACAGCCAATAACTGAGCCGCTCGCCACGGCAATCCCAATCTCATATCACAAATCTCGATGTGCTGTACCGTCGGTAACCAGATCGGGCCAGTGAGAACAGATGAAAGCAGGTAGAACAGTTTAGGTTCGAAGTACTTCAAATGCATTTCGTTTTCTCTCCTAATATAGTGTAGTAACCTTCCCAGCCAACCTAACTGCTGCTAACAACTAAATACCTCGTTCCTAGAACCAGCAAAATTCGTGTTAGGAACCAACCAGGCGAAACCTTTTCACGGCAAATTTCTCGCGTGTAGCACCTCGAAGGCGACTTGCCAGGATAGCTCGTTCAATAGCAACCGTACTGTCGTATTGCTGGTCCATATTTCGAATCTTGCTGATGTCACATCACATACCATCGGCCGTAGTGGGGTCCTGCTAGGGCCTGTAGCGTCATCATGGCAGCTTCGACGCAGGAGACAGCACCGCATTCTAGAACACTCGACTATGGCAGGTGAATATGGTCGTTAATGCACACCCTATAGCTCGTATGCGTCCGCACGCCATTTTATTCGTCATCGCGATCTCCGTCCTATGACCGCACGTCACTCCGCGTGGCCACGTAGCTTTGACTCTTGTGTCATCACCTGCTGTTTGCAATCTGGTCTATAACGTCAATTCGAGTGTTCCCTGACGCTTCAAGGTGCAGTCTTCCCATCGCGTTTGAAAAAAACGACGAGAACGACCCTTCCCTTTCGCGAATTTCGTTAATTGTAGGTCGAGTTCGATGAACCGGAGGAAAGCTGCGGCGAAAGGCGACCTGGCGAAGCTGATATGGTGCTTCATCGGCGTGGTTGGCACGCTCATCATCTACGGCATTGGCCAGGTGCGTCGCTGCGACAAATTATTGATAAATAGACGTAGCGAAGGTGATACAGAAATGCGACCTAGGAAAGCTGGTAAGGCAATGTGACCCAAATTGGCGTGGTGGGTACGCTCAACGTCTACGGCATTGGCCAGGTGCGTCGCTGCGACAAATAATGGATAAAGCGACCTAGCGAAGGTGATACGGAATTGCGGCCTAGGGAAGCTGATAAAACAATGCAACCTGTCGACGATGGTAAGGCAATGCGACCCAGTCATTGTCGTGGTAGGCACGCTCATCGTCGACAGCATTGGCCAGACTTTAAGCTCGGTAAAGTGACCCAGCGAAGGTGATAAGGCAATGCGAGCTGGAAACCAGCGTGGTGCGTACGCTCGTCTTGGGAAGTCACTCGTCTGGGCTCCGGGCCACCACCGTCACGTGATAAGAGGTTGGTTCTGCGACGTCTCAAAGCCAACCTGGACGCCAGCGTGGTGCGTATGCTAGTCTTGGGAAGTCATTCGTCTGGGCTGCAATCCTATCCACCACCATCCCATCCCATCGCCTTTAGCCCAGAGTTCTGTGGAGGGTCCTTTTCCATGCTCCTGCTGTGCCAGCTCTTATGTGATGACGGTGGTTTGCATCTGTTGAATCTGTTGAATCTGTTGCTTGTATCGCAGGAGCGGATAATGAAGTTCCCGTACGGTGACAGGGACGAGGACTCGGAGTACTTTCAGCACTCGCTCTTCATCGTGCTCTGTAACCGCCTCATGACGTGCGCTGTGGCAGTCATCGTGCACCTGGTGAGTCACCCAGAGCCCTTTGATTCGCCTCTACTCTAGCATCCTACTCTTCCTCTTCATCATGCTCTGCTCTGCAACCGCCTCATGACGTGTGCTGTGGCAGTCATCGTGCACCTGGTGAGTCACTGCGTGGTGGTCAAGTCAAAGGCCCGGTAGTCAGTGCTTGATAGGCAACACCACAGCCCGGACTCTTGTGTTAAGTGATATGTTGCATGATCGGTTCTCCACGAGATTGTATTGTACAGCCTTGGGCCCGTGATCGTATCGTATGCTCTCCATCCAACATCCATGCACGCACTGCACAATAGCTGCACACTACATCCCACACGCTGCGCAACCCCCAGATGATGGTCCACCCCCGCAGACTCACCTCACGCATGATTTCCAACCACCCTCAACTACCATGCATGCAATCAGGTGACAGGAGCGTCGTTGGCTCTAGTGGCTCCCATCTACGCCTATGGCGCTGTGTCGCTCTCCAATGTCATCTCGTCCGGATGCCAATACGAGGTGCGCTGCAATGACATCTCCTATGGGTGCCAACACGAGGTTGATTGCATCGGTTATTGCTTTGGTGGATTGTGGTTCACTGTGGTCGTGCTGTGCACGTGAGAAATCTTCCGTTCCCCTTCCCATTCCTTTGCTGCTCTCCCCTACATTGCTGTTTCTGACTTTCCACCCCAACGGCCTCCGTTTTCTCTCACCTCATAGCCTCCCCACCTGCACCTTACCCCCACGCAACCCCCAACCCCAACCCCCAAAGGCCCTCAAGTACGTGAGCTTTCCTCTGCAGACCATAGCCAAGTCATCCCGCATGGTGCCTGTACTGGTAAGCCCTGCAACCTGGTCAGGTGTCATGTGACCGAACCGTGACTGTACCACCACTTTATGCCACACCACCACTCTATGCCACACCACCACTCCATGCCACACCACCACTCCAAGCCATACCACATCTTAAAATATGCTCTGGTGTACCATGCTACGACCATGCCGCTGCAACCATGCTTCCTTCTTCTCCAGATCTTAAAATATCGCGCAAGCAGTACAAGCCCACAGAATACATCATCGCCGTCACCATCATCCTGAAACGCTCTCTCCTCTACCATTCTTCAATTATGCTCTTACAACCATGCTTTTGCAGATCTGGGGCACGATCATATCGCGCAAGCAGTACAAGCCGCGGGAGTACATCATCGCCATCACCATCATCCTCGGCTCCTGCCTCTTCTTCCTCAACGTGGTGTGTCTCCCCCCCTTTTTCTCGGTCCCTTTCAACATCTCTTCTTATTGTCCCCTCTTGCTGTGCTTTTCTGCCGTCCCCTTTACTTTTCGCCTTTGCAACCTCTTCTGTTGTTTCCTTTCATCTTGTTCCTTTCACCTTGTTCCTCAAGCATCCTTGACACATTCACCCGCTCCCCTCTCATTTCCAAGCCCCCTCCACTTCTCGGTCAAGCTCGGTTAAGTCACTATTCGGAAAAAGTGACTCTTCGTCACCGCGCTTTTCCAAACCACTTGTTCTAAAACCACTTTTTGCCTTCCTTGTCTTGTCTCAACCAGAAGTTGAGAAACTTGCACACAGTCCCCCTCAGCGTGTGACCCTTCTCCCTTTTCTCCCCCTCCGTTTTCCCCCTCCCGTCCTCCCATTCGTTCCTCCCTGCTCCCCACTCGCCGCATCCCCCCTCTCCCCTTCGTCCCTTCCCGTTCTCGCACTCTCCTTCGTCCCCCCATCCGCGCCTTCCCGTGCGACACTCTCCGTCCCTGGCGTGCACAATGCCCCGGGTCAAGGTGTCAAGACTGCACGCACGAGTGTGAAGAGCACGTTCTCCGGCCTCCTGCTCATGCTCGGATACCTGGGGTAAGGCGAGGTGTGTGTGGGATATATGGGGTAAGGGGATGCGGTGCGTGTGTCAAATTTCTGGGGTAAGGTGGTGCTTGTGTGGGATATCTGGGGTAAAGAGGTGCATGAATGGGATATATGGGGCAAAACAGTGCATGACTGGGTAGTCTGGTCTGGGGTACGGTAGAGCATGTGTGAGATACCTCTATGTATGTATGCATCATTTCCTCTCCCGTCCCTGTCCCCCCTTTTCTTCGTTTCCTCCCATTCATCGTTGCGTGCCTTGCAAATCCCGCGATCAGCTTTGGCTGTTATCCAACTCAGTCCAAAAGCAAATCTTTTGGACGGCTCTGTCATGATGGCCTTCTCCGTCTCTCTTCCTTCCTTCCTTTTGCCCTCTCCTTCTATCCCTCCATCCCTCCCTCCCAGCTTCACCTACACGTTTCAGGGCAAACATTTGGACAGCTATGATAGGCAGCCCTTCTCCCTCTCCCCCCGTACCACCCCTTCGTTTGTCCTCTCCACCTATCTCTCCATCACACACTCGCAGCTTTGACGGCTTCACGAACACGTTTCAGGACAAGCCGTTTGAGGGCTATGACATGCCACCCCCTCTCCCTCTCTTTGTGTCCCACTTCTTGCCCCGCTCCTCGTCCGTATCCGCCTGTCCTCCCATCATCATCTCATGCTCATCCCATCCCTCCCAGCTTCGATGGCTTCACCAACACGTTTCAGGACAAGCTGTTTGAGGGCTATGACATGCCAGCAGCCAACCAGGTGCTCTACATCACGCTCTGCTCCTCCGTCATCAGCCTTCTGGGTAAGCCGCGCTGCCGTAACCAGACGCCCAGGGTAGGATGCCTGGCGGGTACGATACAGTGAGTGGGCAATAACCCATGTGTTACCAGCCAACCAGGTGCTCTACATCACGCTCTGCTCCTCTGTCATCAGCCTGCTGGGTAAGCCGCACTGCCGTAACCAGACGCCCAGGGTAGGATGCCTGGCGGGTAAGATGCAGTGAGTGGAAATAACCCATGTATTACCAGCCAATCAGGTGCTCTACATCACGCTCTGCTCGTCCGTCATCAGCCTGCTGGGTGAGTGGCAAAACTACACAGGGGGTAAGACAAGCATACCACCCAGGCCCCTGCTAGGACCTAGCAGCGGTCATCGCATTCATTATGCGCCATTCCGACTGTGTCGTGCTGTCATCAAGTTGCCTTGCCTCGCCATGCCCTCCCTCTCACCCACCATCAGGCCAGGTCAGGACCTAGCAGCAGCCATCGCATTCATCTTGCTGTGTCATCCTGTTATGTTGCCTTGCCATACGTTATGTGTTCCCCCCTCACCCGCCTTTCCCTCACCAGGCCTGCGCCAGGACCTATCAGCGGCCATCGCATTCATCATGCGCCATCCCGACTGTGCCGCCCACATCGCAGTGCTCTCTGTGGTACGCCTTACCTTGCTTCTCTAGGATCAGTGCTTTTGTGGTATGGTACGCCTTGCATTCCCGTTGTTGATTCAGGACCTGTCGTGCGTCGCAAGTCCGTCTGTTTCCCACTGGTACGCTTGAACCCGGTTACTACCAGTGAGACTGGTACGCCCCTACCCCCTCCAAACGGCGACCCTAAGCCAGTCTCTTATCTCGATTCTCATACACACTCCATCAACACACCACAGGCTCCTCCCCTCCCCCCTCCCACACACTCCCTTCATCTACGACACACGCCATCAAGATAACAGCCGAATCTCCCTTCCAAAGCCCCCCTTCAACTCTCCCCACCTCCGCTTCACTTTTCCCCCGTACCCCACCAGGCGGCCACCATAAGCCAGACCCTCATCTCCTACACCATCAAGACTGCAGCGTTTCACCCTTCCTTCCTCTCCCTCTTCCCCTTCCCCACACTTCCACTCAACCTCCCCCTCCCTACCTCCCCACCAGGCGGCCACCATAAGCCAGTTCTTCATCTCCCCCACTATCAAGAACAGCAGCCGTTTCACCCTTTCTCTCCCCATCTCCCCCCCCGTCTCCCCCCACCAGGCGGCCACCATAAGCCAGTTCTTCATCTCCTACACCATCAAGACCTTCGGTGCTCTCACCTTTGCCACCGTCATGACCACTCGCCAGGTGTGTGCTGTGTGGCTGCTTTGCGTGTGTTGTGTCCGTGAGTGCGTGCTTGCCGTCTGGGGCATGTTGTACCCGTGTGTTTGTGCATGCATGCACCATCAAGACGTTAGGTGCTCTCATCTTTGCCACCATCATGACCACGCGCCAGGGGTGTGTTGTGTGCTTCCTGTCTGCATGTTGTACGTGTGTGTTTGTGCATGTGTGCACCATCATGACCATGCGCCAGGTGTGTGCTCTCCGCATGCGTGTTGTGTGCATGTGTTGTGCGTGCATTGTGTGCATGGTGAGCGCATGTTGTGCTATTGCAGTCTGCATGTTGTGGTTGTGCATCTGTGCATCTGTGCACGTATGCTTGCTCCATGTCATGTCCCATTCCCTTAGTCCGTTATCTTCTCAAGACATGCCCAGGTTACTCCTTCCATTCCACCTCTTCAGTTAGCATGTTCCCTTTGTGCAAGTCTTAACATGCTGAAGAAAGGGAGACCTTATCATATCCTTCTGCGCATCTCATGCCTTACACTCCTAATCCATATCTCTTTCTCTTGTTCATTCCCCCTTCTTCTCATTCCATGCTCCTTCTTTCCTCTCCATCCATCCCCACCACCAGCTTCTCAGTATCGTACTATCATCTACCGTCTACGGACCGCCCCTCTCCTCCACACAACAAGTCGGCACAGTAAGTGCTCACCCAAGAGTTACTCTGTCACCTTGCCAATTAGATATTCGACTCACCCAACTCCGTTGTCCCTGGCCGTTTCAAGCTTACAGCATTTGTCATCATCCCAGTTCCATCACCTTTCCATGTGCTTTCTTGCGGGTCTCCCCTTTCCTCCAGAACCCCCCGCTTCTCTTTCTTCCTCTCTTATCTCTGCCCTCAGCCACTGCTCTCCCCACTGCACCAACCTTTGCCAAATAGCCGTCTTCAGTGCACTCCCCCGCAAGCATGTGATTCTGAATCCTCAAAAGCACCCTCCTGCATCTGCCACTGCACTCTCTCGTAGCGGTGTCCAGTGCTCTCTATCACAAAAGTGTCTTCCATAGTTCTCCTCAAGTGCACCCTGCATCTACCGTGCAATTCTTCCCCCACCTCGGCACCCTCCACCGTGTGCTCTACTGCAAGACAGCTCGTGAGAATCCTAATAACGCCCTCTATCTGCCCATTCCGCTCCCTTTCCCTCCCCCCTCCCCCACACGACCCTTCAGACCAGAGCAGCAGCAGTTTGGAGACGTCTCCAATATGCCCATTCCACTCCCCCCTTTCACCACCCTTCACCAGGTGGTGGTCTTCGGTGCTCTCTACTACAAGAATGACTTAATCACACTCTGCAACTACACCCTACATCTGTGCACTCCCCCTCACACCCCTTCATCAGGTGGTGGTGTTCAGTGCTCTCTACTACAAGAGCTGGTACGCAGTAACCAGAGCAGCAGCAGCCAGCCAATCAGCTTCTGCCACCAGCAGTAGCACCATCGGAAGCAGCGGCAACAGCAACAGCAGCAGCAGTAACCTTTTGGCCATAACAAACCCTAGCAGCAACACCACCCCCACCTCAGCTTCTACCCACTCCCATTCCTCCAATGCGGGTATAGAAATGGGGGGCAAGGATCAGGAGAAGCTGGGAGTTGCAATTACCCCGCCCTCTAGGGACCTGATTAGCCCATCCTCTGGGTCCTTGTTCAGAGTGCTAAAGAACAGATTGTCTGGGGGGGGCGGTAGTGGGATAAGGGAAGAGGAATCGCCACTCATGGGGGGGAGAGATGGGGATGGTGGGAGTGGGGTAGGCTCATCTGACAAGTTATGACACTAAATGAAAGAAACAATTGAAACGGGAAACGGTTTCTCAGTAAGGATGCAAATGAATTCTTGGCTGCTTTGAGGTTGCCACTTCAGGTATCTAACTTTTGTTGTACGGAGTTAACATGCATGAAATTATGATAGTTAACAACATACACTAACAAAAAACCTGCCCCTCACATCAAATCTACTCCAGAAGCTCTACTTCTGCTGAACATAGTCACTGGGAGTGGCCTCCCAGATGATGGTGCCATCACAGGAGCACAGCGACTTGTAGTTCTGCCCCACACCTGCACTGCGCGCGATCACTGCTGCCGCCAGCCCCTTGCTGCTGGCCCTGTCAGCCCCGTCATACACCGCCACGGCCCGGCCTATCAGGTCCCACACCTTGAGGCGCGTGCTGGGCGCTGCATACGCGGCATGGCCCTTGTCGTCTGTGTTCAGAACTCCCAAGTCACCCGCGGGCTGTGAAGGGATAGTGGGGAAAGGAGGGGAGGGTAGAGGGAGGGGAGGGTAGGTGGGGACATGACATGACCCGCGGCCCAGCCTATGAACCTTGAGGCGCGTACCGCGCACTGCATTGGCAGCATGGCCCTTGCAGTCTGCCTGTAGCACACCCAAGCTGCGGGCGGGCTGTGAAGGGGAGGGGTGAAGAACGGAGGAATTAGAGGGAAGGAGAAAAAGGAGAGGATATGGGCGGGACCCGCAACAGCTGGGCACCGCATTGAACAGTCTGTCTACACTCCCAAAGTACCCGATCATCAGCAGCACTGGTTTTGAGTCTCCTCGAAACTAGTCTACACTCTGAAAGTACCCCAGCATCAGTAGCAGTGGCAGTTGACGCCTTCCCCAAGAAGCACCCAACAACTAGCTGAACTATTGTTCCTGCTGCAATGTACGTACCCCATCAGCAGCAGCAGCAGATGGCGCCTCCCCGGGATAGCACCTGCCGGTGCTGTCAGCGCCGCGCGTGAGGTCTCCATACTCGTTGACAGCCCACGCATGGGCGGTGGAGGGGGAGAGGCCATCAAACTGCGCCTCCACCCACACCTCCTCTATGCTCGCCTGGTGGGGGGAGGGGAGGGAAGGCAATGGTACATACATACACTGGGTGGCACTCTCGTTGACAGCCCATGCATGGGCGGTCGAGGGCGCGAGGCCGTCAAACTGCATCTCCACCCGCACCTCCTCCATGCTCACCTGGTGGGGGGAGCGGGGGGGGGGAGGGGGGGGCGGGGAGCGGGAAGGGCGTTGGAGGTGTTACAGTTTCTGCATGCTAATCGCTTCCACCCGCACCTCCTCCGTGCTCAACTGGTGGGGGAGAGGGGGGGAAGGGGAAAAGGGATGAGAAGACAGTGGTACAAACAAAGGCGGCGACAGAACTGCGCGGTCCCTCTGAGGCCCCATGTCCTGCCACCCAACTGAGCCTCCATGCGCACGTCCTCCGTGCTCCTCACCTGGGGGAGGGAGGAGGGGAGGGGGAGGTGGGGGGAAGGGGGGGGGAAGGAGGAAGGGGGTGGCAGTGATACAGGTGCAGCTTCTGCCTGGCCAGGCCACCGCCTCCACACGACTTTTGAGGCGCCTCAAACACCGCCTTCACACGCACCAACCCCACGCTCACTTGAGGGGAGGTGGATTGGATAGGAATGGGCGTGACAGGGGGGGGAGACAGGCGGGGAAGGGAGAGGGGGAGGGGCAGCAGAGTTACTCATATGGATAAAAACAATACTATGTGGGTCGGGTCTGACTTTGAGGTGACTTTTGAAACAGCTAACTTTGCCCCCCTTGAATGGATTTATGTGCTAGACTAAGTAGCACTGAATGAACTACAGGTAGCAGGCTGGCAGTTGAGTGAGGGGGGAATGGCGGCATATTGTTCAGCCGTGATTCCTCGTGAGCGGTTCAATGTGGTGCGCAATGGTGAAGTACTATAATGTACACCCAGGCCGTATTCTACCTTTCACCGCTTTCAACCGTTGCTAACAAGCCTAAAAATGGCCCTCCTGCTTTTGTGGCAAACGCACGCCAGTGGTCCACAGAACAGAACGTGCTGTGCGGTAAAGCGACAAGGGTAACACGTGGGGTTTGCCGAGCCTAATCTGTCTGTTTCCCCGTCGAACCTGCCCGACAGACCTTTCTGAGCCTACAAACTGAGGTGGTTTGGTTTGGAATGCATCTTGAAAAGCAGCGACTAGGCTAGGCGGGAGGACGTTGGGAAAACGGGAGCAGGTAGTGGTGTGGTGCGGTGGGGATGGGAGAATTGTGAAGGGAGGAGAGGGAGGTGGACAGAGCCATTTCAACTTTGAAGTTGTTGTATGAATATTTTCATCAATTGAGAGTGTTATGCGGATCAGTAAGTTAGATCCGTAGCATGCCCTTAGCTGGGCCTTATAAACGATAGGTATTTGAGAATTCTCAAAAACGATAGCCGCCTAACAGGGCTCGAGGTCCCATGCTCTCAGCCCGCTCAGGCAGTCTAAAAGACGGCCCGCCTCACCTGGGCGAACCGCACTACACCGTGGATCACCGGCCCCTTGAACTCCGCCACTGCTGCTGTGAGGGCCAGCTCTGTTGTAACAGGGAGAGATGGATGGACGGAAAAGAGGAAGAGCAGATGAGAGGGAGGAGGACGAGAGGGGAGAGAACGTGAGGAAGGTAAGAGATGGAAGCGAACCAGAGGGGTCTTTAAGCCCCCCATTGCTGTTGTGCGAACCAGAGGGGTCTTTAAGCCCCCCATTGCTGTTGTGCGAACCAGCTCAGGGGTCGAAGGGAGGGACGGATGGACAGAGAAGAGGAAAGCGGAAGGAAGAGAGGGTTGAGGACGCCAGGGGAAGACATGGGTGAGGGGAGACATGGGTGAGGGGAGACATGGGTGAGGGGAGACACGGGTGAGGGGAGACACGGGTGAGGGGAGACACGGGTGAGGGGAGACACGGGTGAGGGGAGACACGGGTGAGGGGAGACACGGGTGAGGGGAGACACGGGTGAGGGGAGACACGGGTGAGGGGAGACACGGGTGAGGGAGACACGGGTGAAGGGAGACACGGGTGAGGGGAGACACGGGTGAGGGGAGACACGGGTGAGGGGAGACACGGGTGAGGGGAGACACGGGTGAGGGGAGACACGGGTGAGGGGAGACACGGGTGAGGGGAGACACGGGTGAGGGGAGACACGGGTGAGGGGAGACACGGGTGAGGGGAGACACGGGTGAGGGCGCGGGAGGTGCTATTTGGTGGTTGCACTGCAGAGCGTTGAGCTAGCTCGGAATCTGTTGAGATCTAGTAGTACAGGCGTTTTTAAACACAGTCTATCTTGTAAGCCCAGATCTAGTCTGCTGCTCGCTGAGAACTATGTCAGACGGCTGATCCACACATATGCCCTTCACCATCACTCACGAGACGGGTCGCCCGGAATGAGTTGATTTTTGAGGCGCCTCAAAAGTTGATTATTTTAGGCGCCTCAAAAATCAACTCAGTATGTCAGACGGCCGATCCACTCCACACATATGCCTTTTACCATCACTCACGAGACGGGTCGCCCGGGCCTTGCGGCCGCTCTTCTTCAGCGCCTCCTCCAGCTGGGCCAGCGTGGCACTGCCCAGCTGCGTGAGATATCACTCGTGCAATAGCTCTCCGCACCGCCACTGTGCCACACCTATGCCACACCTATGCCTTCATGCCTGGATCCTAAACCCTGCTTTACTCACGAGACGGGTCGCCCTGGCCAATGAGTCGCGCCTTGCGGCCGCTCTTCTTCAGCGCCTCCTCCAGCTGGGCCAGCGTGGCACTCACTCCCCAACAACATGGCCCAGTGAGAGTTTACTCATGCAACAGCCCTCCACACACTTGCACACCCATGGCCTTCACAATCACTCACGCGACGGCTTTTGAGGCGCCTCAAAAATTGCGGGTAGAGAGACGACTTTTGAGGCGCCTCAAAAGTCACTTGCACATCCGTGGCCTTCACAATCACTCACGCGAAGGGTCCCCCTGGCCGATCAGCCGCGCCTTGCGGCCGCTCTTCTTCAACGCCTCCTCCAGCTGGGCTAGCGTGGCACTCCCCAACACGCGCACCACCTGCGACTCGAGACTGATGTCCACCAGCTTGACGCCTGGTGGAAAGATGGAGAGAAAGGGAGAGGGAATGAGGGAGTGAGGGGAGGGGGAGGAGAGGACAGGCCACGTGGCAGCGTGGCACTCCCCAACACTCGAGGCGATTCCAGACTGATGTCCACTGCCTTCACGCCTGGCGAGAGATGGGAAGAGAGGGAGGGGGGGAATGAGGGGAGTGAAGGGGGAAAGACGGACCAGCATGGCGCTCCCCAACACACGCACCACCTGTGACTCGAGACTGATGTCCACCAGCTTCACGCCTGGTGAGACAAGGAGAGTGAGGGAGAGGGGGAATGAGGGGAGTGAGGGCAGGGGACGACCAGTGCGGCACCCCCCTCCCCCAGCAATCGCACCATCTGCGACTCGAGAATGATGTCCACTTCCTTGACGCCTGGTGAGAGAAGGAAGAGGGGTGGGTAACAGGAGGGGGCATTGTGTAGTCCTTTCAAGTGGCACCACGGCCAGCCCAGCAATCGCACCATTTGCGACTCGAGAATGATGTCCACTGCTTTGACGCCTGGTGAGATGGAGAGAGAGGGAGAGAGAGGGAGTGAGGGGAGTGAGGGGAGTGAGGGGATCGAAGGGAGGGCTTGCGTGGCACTGCCCAACAGGCGCACCAAGGTGACTTTAGAGTCGACTCAAAAGGCACTGCCCAACAGGCGCACCAAGGTGACTTTAGAGTCGACTCAAAAGGCACTGCCCAACAGGCGCACCAAGGTGACTTTAGAGTCGACTCAAAAGGCACTGCCCAACAGGCGCACCAAGGTGACTTTAGAGTCGACTCAAAAGGCACTGCCCAACAGGCGCACCAAGGTGACTTTAGAGTCGACTCAAAAGGCACTGCCCAACAGGCGCACCAAGGTGACTTTACGTTTGTGTTGTGCGAGATGGAGAGGAATTGAGGGAGTGACGGACCAGCGTGGCACTGCCCAACACGCGCACCACCTGCGACTCCATCTCTGATGTCCACTGACTTGACGCCTGGTGAGAGATGGCGAGGAACTGAGGCAGAGAGGGAATGAGGGAAGTGAAGGGGGAGGAGGACGGACCAGCGTGGCACTGCCCAACACGCGCACCACCTGCGACTCCAAAACTGATGTCCACTGACTTGACGTTTAGTGAGAGATGGAGAGGAATTGAGGGAGAGAGGGAGCAATGGCGAGAGAGGGTGAGGGAAGTGAGGGGAGTGAGGAGTGTGAGGGAGTGAGTGAGAGAGGAGGACGGGCTAGCGTGGCGCTTCCGAGCAATCGCACCACCTGCGAGATTCAATTCAACCACCTTGCTGCCTGGTAAGGAGGTGACTTTTGAGTCGACTCAAAATTCAACCACCTTGCTGCCTGCCTGGTAAGGGACGGAAGACGAAGGTGGGCTGGGCGAGAGTGGGGCAGCCCAACCCAACAGACACACCCACCCTCTGCAAGGCCAGAAACTGAAGCTCCGGGCTTGCAAAAGCAGGCCAAATATCAACGCAAAACACGCAGCAGTCGCGAGGACGTGCGTACCGTTGAAACGCCTCACACGCGCAGTGCAGTGCAGCAGCCACGGCCCATGTGGACACACACACCATATCTCACATCTGTCTATATGCTCGCGCCAGACACAATTCCAGGGAAGATTTTTGAGGCGCCTCAAAAATCATGCGGGCACACCATATCTCTCATCTATCTATATGCTCGCGCCAGAGACACAATTCCAGGGAGGCGCACGCACCTGTTGATTCATTCCTCTATATCTCATCAGCTTATGAGGTGACTTTTGAGTCGACTCAAAAGTCATTCCAGGGAGGCGCACGCACCTGTTGATCCATTCCACTATATCTCAGCTTATGTGCTATTTTATTCCACAGGTGCGTGCGCCTCCCTGGAATTGTGCTTATGACGCGCACGCACCTGTTGATCCATTCCATTCCACTATATCTCAGCTTATGTGCTATTCTATTCCAAGACAAAACTCCCATCATGTATACATGCTTGTTTTTATAAAACCCCTGCCATACCATTCTTCCTTCCGGATTCCAGCCCACCTCCCCATCCCTATGGTTCACACTCACCTTCCAGAGGCTCCAGCTTCCCCCGCACGTTCTTGACGCAGCTCTGGCACGACATGTCCACCATGAACTCGGTCTGTGAAAGACCAAGGGGGAGGAGGAGAGGGGGGGAGAGAAGGGAGGAAGGAGGGAGAAGTGAGGGGAGCACATCGTTCTTGACGCAGCTCTGGCAGCACATGTCCACCATGAACTCGGTCTGTGAGGCGAGACGAAAGCAAGGAGGAGGAGGTCAAGACAAGGGGGTTGAGGCTGGGAGGAAGGGCATGGGGAACACACACAGAGCTCTTGACGCAGCTCTGGCAGCTCATGTCCGCCATGAACTCCGTCTGATGCGGGCGAATGGGGAGGAGAGAAAGGGAGGGGAGGAAGGGAGGAGGGGAGGAAGGAAAGAGGAGGTGGGGAGAGGGCGCACGGGGAGCACAGAGCTCTTGACGCAGCTCCGGCAGCTCATGTCCACCATGAACTCCGTCTGCAAGGCGAGACGAGGGTGAGGAGAGGAAGGGGGGGAAGGAAGGGAGGAGGGGAGGTAGGGAGGGGAGGTATGGGGAGCACACTGTTCTTGACGCAGCTCTGGCAGCTCATGTCCACCATGAACTCCGTCTGCAAGTGACCAAGGAGGGCGGGGGAGTGGAGGGGGGTCAGTGAGAGAGAAACACCTTTTCTTACGACCCGTCAACAAACGCATTGGTAGAATCATTGCTATGGAAAATCGTCATTTTGAGGCGCCTCGCAGAAAGTTCGCATTCGTTGGCTTGGGACAACAGCTAACGCGTTTCTCGCGACACTCTTGAGGATTCACGAGAAAAACGACTCTCAAGTTTCTTGCAGCAAAACGATTTGACACGACCTGCTTGTGAGGGCCGTGTGCGTAGTGATCTACACGCCATTCTTATTCGTGCCACGTCGAACCCAGTATGCCACGTCAGGCATGCCACGTCATACCATGAGGTCGGGAAGCTGCGTGGCCGTGGAGGGCGCCGAAACGGCTGTGGCGGAACCGCCCTGGGGGGGATGAAAGTCGCAGAGGAGCGCGGAGCGCGGAGCGCGGAGAACGCGGGGAGTGCGAAAGCGAGGGGAATGCGGGGAACGCGGGGATCGCGGGGAACGCGGAGAACGCGGAGAACAGGGAGGGCGCAGGGAGCGCAGGGAGAGCCGGAAGAGCGGGGAGAGCAGGGAGGGCGGGGAGAGCGGCGAGGGCGGGAAGAGGGGGGAAACGCGAGGCGCGTGAGGGTAAGTCACGTATGACGAGAAATTTGAGAGACGAGATTCACGGAAGGCAGATGGTGGGTCGCTGGTACTAGTCATCTACATGCATCGTCGCAATCGCTCACGTCGCACAGCACAGCCGTCGTCGCCAGCCGTCGCTCACCTCGCTCGCCATGGCACGGCACCCCAGTCGCGCGCTCCTTCCCGCTATTGCTGCCTTCCGCAGATCGCTTCCGCGCGCACTCGCCTTCAGCGCCTTCCCGCGCACTGGCGCAGCCCTAAGTTCGCGCACGTTACAGCTGGCTACCGCAGTCGGAGTAGAGACGTTGATGCGGCAAAGATGCTGCGATGCGCTCAGAGAGGCGGCAGGAGCAGCCATAACTAGCTCGCGATTGACGGCGATTCGCGTTGTGAACCCGACAGAAATGAAGAAATTACACGCAGGTGTGGTATGGTAGAATCTAGAAGGTCGGCAAAAGCTGGGAAGTTGGGGGATGGGTTGCTGGGGAGGGGAAGGAGGAGCGTGCGGAACGAAAACCCGCGTGCGGATGCAGCACTGGCGCGAGACGTTGCTGCCAATCCCCCCAACCCAACAGCTCACGGCAAGTGCGAGCAAATACGCGGGCGCAGGAAAAAAAGAGTGCGCGGGCGGGCTGGAGGCGCGCATGATCTGGTGCGGTGCATGCATCACCAAGGCTTAGAAGTGTAGAGATCGAGAAACATACGTTCACAAACCATATGGAAAACAAAAACAATGCAGTTGCCTTAAAATTGTTATTTGACAAATATTATCGAACAATAATGGCATGGCATCATGCCAGCTGTGGGCAACCCCGTGCAACAGGCCACTAGTTATGCCTGCCTGCCTGTGCCTCCTGTTGCCGCACAGGGTAGAAATACGGATGGGCCTGGACAAGGACACCAGAGACAACGGAAGAGGGAATAGAAATGGGGCGACACAGAAAGATCAGGTGCTTCAGATAGAAAAATTCCGATAAGGTAGAAGGAAAAGAATCAGACACAGGGTGACCAATCTGGCCTCTCTACACAACTTAACATGGCTTCTACACCACCCACCACCTGGCCACCACACACATTCAGAAACTCAACAGCCCAGCCTTATCCACCCCCTATCCACCCCCTTCACTAACAGCCCAACGCCACTAAATGACTCAGCAGCACTCACCATGGCCTCCTTAGCTGTGAGCCGGTCCCAGTGGTAGTACCGCAGCAGCTCAACAGCACAAGCAGGCACACCAAATCAGCGTCACACCACCGGCACCACCAGCAAACCCCCTCTGCCAACAACACCATGACCTTCCTAATCCAAGTTGACTTTTGAGTCGACTCAAAAGCCAACCAGCAAACCCCCTCTGCCAACAACACCATGACCTTCCTAATCCAAGTTGACTTTTGAGTCGACTCAAAAGCCAACCAGCAAACCCCCTCTGCCAACAACACCATGACCTTCCTAATCCAAGTTGACTTTTGAGTCGACTCAAAAGCCAACCAGCAAACCCCCTCTGCCAACAACACCATGACCTTCCTAATCCAAGTTGACTTTTGAGTCGACTCAAAAGTCAACCAGCAAACCCCCTCTGCCAACAACACCTTGACCTTCCTAATCCACCCACCATGGCCTCTCTCGCTGTGAGCCGGTCCTGGTGGTCGTACCGCAGCAGCTCAACAGCCCAGCTCAGCATAAATACACACCCCTTCCACAATACCATCAATATTATTGACACCCCTTCAACAATCAACATCATCAATACACCTCCTCCTTCCACCACCCACCATGGCCTCTCGGGCTGTGAGTCGGTCCTGGTGGTCGTACCGCAGCAGCTTGTCCAGAAAGTCCACCGCCTGCCCACCGGGTGTTGCAGAGAGTGGGCGGCAACAGGCGGCAATGGGAGCATGTGACAGAGAGAAAGGCGGACATGACGGAGAAAGCAGCGGGGGATGGAAACAAGGCAGGGGGGGATGGGGGGATGGGAGAAAGGCAGGGATTGGTGGGTAGTGGCACATGCAACAAGCAGCAGAGTTGCTCCGAGTGACAAACTACACGCCACCACCAGTGGCTTCTCACCTCTCAAATCTCTTACCTCGGGCGAGACAAGGTGCTGGTTGTCACTGTTGACAAACTTGGACCACGGCTTGCGGCTGTGCCGCCCCACCAGCGCCTCGAGATGCGGGTCCAGCATGATGCTGTACTTGCCCAGATAGCTGTTCAACTCGTCCGTTCCCAGCACCTGAGAAACATGGGGGTGGGGGAAGAGAGGAAGGTGACATGAGTGAGGGACATGTTAGGGTGAGGGTCCAGCATGATGCTGTACTTGCCCAGATAGCTGTTCAACTCATCGGTACCCAAGACCTGATAGGAGTGGAAGAGAGGGGTGATAAGCAGTGGGGCAGCAGGGAGTGAGTGAGGTGTTTGCTGACATGAGGGTCCAGCATGATGCTGTACTTGCCCAGATAGCTGTTCAGCTCGTCCGTTCCCAGCACCTGATCCGAGTGGGGGAGACAGACGATAAGGAGTGCGGCAGCGGGGCAGCGGGGCAGAGGGGCAGAGTGCATTGATGTGGGTCCAGCATGATGCTGTACTTGCCCAGACAGCTGTTCAGCTCGTCCGTTCCCAAGACCTATGAGTGTGACTGTGGAACGTCACACAGTGGAACGAGTGGGATCAGGACCAGGGGCAGTGAGACGAAAAGAGAAACATACGGAATGCGCGGAGGAGCGGAGCACTGATTTCCTGCCAGGCCAAGCATGCCGCCGAGACGATTTTTGAGTCGACTCAAAAACCGACTCATCACACGCGGAGGAGTGGAGCACTGACTTCCTGCCAGGCCAAGCATTGAGGTCGTTTTTTAGGCGCCTCAAAAACGACCTCAATGCACACTGATTTCCTGCCAGGCCAAGCATGCCGCCGAGACTGGGACTTAAGATGCAAGCCCATAGCCTAGCCTAGCCTACCCACCACAGTCACCCCGGGTCTGGTCTGGTGTGGTGTGCACGCACCTTGGCGATTTTGACGAGCTGGTCGTAGTTGTCGTGGCCGTAGAAGAAGGGCTCCTTGCGGAATATCTGATGCGAGGCATGCACGGGGCACGGGGCACGGGGAACGGGGAGAGAAGGGACGAGCAGGGGCAGCGGGAACGGGGAGAAAGGTGGGAACGGGCAGAGGGGAGGGTATTGGGAACGAGGAGAGGGGATTGGGGTGGGGTAGGGTGGAAAGATGACGGTCCAAAGTGGGGCATCAACAGGAGCTCGTTGCGGAATATACAATATGAGCAGCACATGCACGGGTCAAGGGGAGGGGCGGCCGTCACTGGGAAATGAGGACGGGGGAGGGGAATCGGAAAGGGGAGAGGGGTATTGATGGTCAACAGTGGGCATCAACAGGAGCTCGTTGCGGAATATCCAATATGAGCAGCACATGCACGGGTCAAGGGAAGGGGCGGCCGTCCGTGAGGGCACTGGGCAGTGGGAAATGAGGAGGGGGGGGGGGAATTGGAAAGGGGAGAGGGGTATTGATGGTCAATCAATACAGGCTGACAGACACTTTGCGCAATACCAGAGTGCAAATGCATACAAAGAATGGGGGGTGGGTCAAAAAGAGTTGGTGACAGGCGTGGGACAGCAGGCAGGAGGGGTAGATGGACGAAATGTCTCTCACAAAAAAAATGCATGCACGCAGAAATCCGAGCAAGAATTCTTGCACCCACACGCATCATCTTCCTCACACACACACACACCATGTCCCCCACACCCACCCACCCACCCACCATGCCAGCGACCACACCCACACACCACGCGCCCCAAGGCAAGGCTCACCATGCCAGCGAACATGCAGCCCAGACTCCACATGTCGAGCGAGTAGTCGTAGTCCTGCAGGTCCACTAGGAGCTCGGGGCCCTTGAAGTACCTGCATAGTTGGGGCGGAGGGGGGGAGAGAGGGGAAGAGGGAGGGGGAGATGGTGGTGTTGAGGGGAACGCGGCATGTCCAGCGAATAGTCGTAGTCCTGCAGGTCCACTAGCAGCTCGGGGCCCTTGAAGTACCTGCGGGGGGAGAGGCGCAGGATTGGCACACATGGACATGGGAGGGGAGGGAGATATGGTGGTGTTGAGAACGCCACATGTCCAGCGAGTAGTCGTAATCTTGCAGGTCCACTAGCAGCTCGGGGCCCTTGAAGTACCTGCGGGGGGGAGCAGCAGGGGGGACAGAGGGTTACAGGGGCGGTGAGAGTGGCACATGTCAAGCGAGTAATTGTAGTCCTGCAGGTCCACTAGGAGCTCGGGGCCCTCGAAGTACCTGCGGGGATAGGGAAGGGAGGGGAGCACGAAGAGACGCAAACACCTTCACGATGCTGACTCACTCACCACCGTGCACCACCTTCATGATGCGTCACGTTCCTTCCTGCACGCCATACAGCTCAGCGCACCTGGACGCCACGCGCACGCTGTACTGCTTGCTGGGATGGTACAGACAGTACAACAACTCTGTCAGCCCTCAGTTACACTGCACTGCACTGCACCCACCCAGGCATACCAAGATGCGCCACATGCCATGCCTGCATACCGTATCGATGCGATTTTGAGAATTCTCAAAAGACACTGCACTGCACCCACCCAGGCATACCAAGATGCGCCACATGCCATGCCTGCATACCGTACAGTACACGATACCTGGACGGACGCCACGCGAACGTTGTACTCCTTGTTGGGGTAGTAGAATTCCGCCAGCCCGAGTCACATGCGTCTAGGCATTCCAAGGTGCATCACATGTGTGCACGTGATACAGCGTGCGTGCGTACCGTGTCGCAGCAGAACTGAATGACCTCGACGCCATCCGAACGTTGTATTCCTTGTTGGGGTGGTGGAACTCCGCCAGCCCCCAGTCGCACGCACCTAGACATAACAAGATGCGTCACATCACATCACATGCATGCACACCAAACCTGGACTGGACTGGACGCCACGCGAACATTGTATTCCTTGTTGGGGTGGTGGAACTCCACCAGCCCTCAGTCAATGAGGCGCGGCTTCCTCTGCTCATGCCTTCACGCACCTAAGAACCGAACAGTCACTGCCACACTGCCGTAGCACAACAACTGACTGACCTGGACGCCACGCGAACATTGTACTCCTTGTTGGGGTGGTAGAACTCCGCCAGGCCCCAGTCAATATGAGGCGCAGCTCAGCTTCCTCTGCTCGTGGCGGCACCGTCATATGCATGCATCATGTGGTACAGCGTACCTGGACGCCACGCGAACATTGTACTCCTTGTTGGGGTGGTAGAACTCCGCCAGGCCCCAGTCGATCAGCCTCAGCTTCCTCTGCTCGTGGTCGATCATCACGTTGTGCGGCTTCACGTCCCGATGCATGATGCCCTGTGAATGGCAGAAGTCGAGAGCCTGGTGGGAGACAGGGGATCCAAGGTAGTAACGCAAGGGCACATAAGAGGGCGTGCATGCATGAGGCGCAGCTTCCTCTGCTCGTGGTCGATCATCACACTATGTGGCTTCACGTCCCGATGCATGATGCCCTGTGAGTGGCAGAAGTCCAGAGCCTGGTGGGGGCGACATGGGAAGGAAAGAGAAGGGAAGTGGAGGGCTGAAGGGAGAAGCTTCACATCCTCATGAATGATTCGCTTGAGTGGCAGAAGTCATAGCGGAGGCAGGATGGGAAGGGAAGGGAACACAGGGAATGAAGGGCACGGTGAGGCACAGACACAAGCACATGGTCACACGCCCTTCCAGTGCCCTTCCAGTGCCCCTCCAGTCACGCCCACAGCCGCATGCATGGGAAGGGAAGAGAAGGGAACTTCCAGTGACCTGAGAGGAGCTCATAGATGTATGTAGTAACGAATATCATACGCGGAGAGCGTGAAGTAGAGCACTTTGATTCAAGTGCCATGAGATGCGTAGAGCCATGAACCCACAGGGACACGCCCAGACACAGGCACGCAGTCACACACACGCCCACAATCACATGGTCAAACGTACCTTAAGCAGCTCAGTAAATGTAGAAACGAATATCGTAATCAGAGAGCGTGGGGTAGAGCACTTTGACTAAAGTGCTGCGAGCAGAGACACAGGCATACAAAAACATGGTCACATCACACCACGTGATCACATAACATGGTCACACACCCATTCAGCACACCTTGAGCAGCTCGTAGATGTAGTAGCGGATGTCATAATCAGAGAGCGTGGGGTAGAGCGCACTTCAAAGTCCCATGAGCACAGACACATGCATGATGCACACAATCACATGCTCCCACCCACCTTCAGCACTGCCACACAAGCGCACCTTGAGCAGCTCATAGATGTAGTAGCGGATGTCGTAATCAGAGAGCGTGGGGTAGAGAGAGCACTTTGAAATCGGTGTTGTTGACAAACTCAAAGATGAGCGACGGCGTCTTGCTCTGCCCACCCACTGCCCCACGCCCACTGTCCCACGCCCACTGCCCCACACCCACTGCCCCACGCCCACAGCCCCACGCCCACAGCCACACAAGCGCACCTTGAGCAGCTCGTAGATGTAGTAGCGGATATCGTAACCAGAGAGCGTGGGGTAGAGCACTTTGAAGTCCCATGCGCACGGCTACACAAACACAGCCGCATGGCCACAACCGCACGCAGCATAGGCATGGAGCCCAATCACTGGTCGCACACACACACACACACACACACACACACACACACACACACACACAGCCGCACATACCTTAAGCAGCTCGTAGATGTAGTAGCGGATGTCGTAATCAGAGAGCGTGGGGTAGAGCACTTTGAAGTCGGTGTTGTTCACAAACTCAAAGATGAGCGACGGCGTCTTGCTCTGCGGGTCGCGCACAATGTCCAGCAGACGGATGATGTTGGGACCGCCGCACAGGTTTTGCAGAATCTTGATTTCTCGCTTGATCTGGTGGGGGGGGAAGGGGGTTGGTTGGAGGGGGAAGACGAGGAGGGGAGGGCAGACGATGTCAAACAGGCGGATGATGTTGGGGCTCCCGCACAGGTTCTGCAGAATCTTGATTTCTCGCTTGATCTGGCGGTGAGGAGGGGGAAGAGGGGCGAATGAAACAGGTTATGCGGGGGGTGGAAAGAGGAGGATGGGGAGGCCGGGTGATGTCGAGCAGGCGGATGATGTTGGGCCCGCCGCACAGGTTCTGCAGGATCTTGATCTCTCGTTTGATCTGGTCGGGAAGGGAGGGGGTTGGAGGGGGAAGACGAGGAGGGGGAGGGCAGACAATGTCAAACAGGCGGATGATGTTGGGGCTCCCCCACAGGTTCTGCAGAATCTGATGTCCCGCTTGATCTGATGAGGGGGGTGGGGGGGAAAGGAGGGGAGGGAGAGAGCAGGGCATAAACAGACCAATGATGTTGGTCTGGGTGGGGGGCTGCAGATTCCATAATCTTGTCTCACTGTTTGATTAATGTGTTGACTTGACTGCAATGACCACACTGACTGCTCACCGCACTACGGCCCGTCTCACCTTTTCTTCTTTTGACTGGCTTGAGGAACTTTGGAGAGTACAAGATTCCCAGGGAAATGATGGCAAGATGCATGCATGCACTTCTCCCTGTTAAGCGAGTTGTTGACCCTGTTGACGCGTTGAGTGTGTTCACCCGGTCAAAGTGCGCTCACCTTCTTCTTCTTGACGGGTTTGAGGATCTTGATGATGCACTTCTCGCTGTTGACCGCGTTGACCCCCTCAAACACCTCGCTGTACTTGCCCCGCCCCACCTTGCGCACCACCTCGTAGTCGTCCTGGTCTCTGCGCGTTCACATAAGGCGGGGGAAGGGAGAGTTAGCACAGAGGGGCACAGTGCATCGGGCTGTACTTACCGCGCCCCACCTTGAGCACCACCTCGTAGTCGTCCTGGTCTCTGCATGTTGCGAGGGGTGACAGGGAGGGGACAATGGGGAGATTGGCACAGAGGGGCACGGTGCATCGGGCTGTACTTCCCGCGCCCCACCTTGAGCACCACCTCGTAGTCGTCCTGGTCTCTGGGGGTTTGGAGGAGGGAAGGTCAGGGTTGGATGGGAAAGAGTGGTGGGGAGAAGGGGGTGTTGAGGGGGGAATGGGTAGGAGTGGGGGAGAAAGGGGGGGTGAAGGGGAGTGAAGTGGTTGCAAGGGGGGGTGAGGAGACAGGAGATGAATAAGAAGAGCCATTCTCCGCCTCATCTTGCGTGGGATGCTGAGAAACTTTGCTTGCGTCACTTTTGAAAGCTTTCAAAAGGGCGGGAGAGAATATTATGGGAGAGGAGAGCCCAAACTGCGCACCACCTCATAGTCGCCCTGACCGCTGGCAGTTCCGAGGGAGGAACGCGAAAGGAATTTGAAGGGGAGAGAGGAAGAAGCGGGGTAGGGGAAGAAAGTGTAGCGGTTCAAAACGCTTTGTCCCGTGTCTAATTGATTGTACATGTAGAAGGCATGTGAAAAAAACAAACAAACAAACAAACAAACCAAACCAAACAAAACAAAACAAAACAGAGCAAAACAAAACAAGGGGAACGGAGGACGGAAATGGTTGATGCAGACTATGAAAATAAAGAAATTTGGCCGCGCGTCGACTGTAAAACGCCTCATTAGAAGTCGACCTGGATTGGAGCGTGAGAGGGGACACGACGGGGATATCATATAGTCCGCACCGAAAATGGCGGGAGAATCAACTCTCTTTGAGCGGTGAGCGCACTCTCTTTGACAATCATCTCTCTTCCTTGACGTACTCCCACTGCACGGTGAGCGCCTCGTGGTCCCAATAGTCTCATTGACGGGGATAAAATAAAGCCCGCACCAAAATGAGGGTAAATTAACCGTCATTGCGCAATCCCCGACGTACCCCCACTGCACGGTGAGCGCCTCGTAGTCCCAATACTCCTTCGGTCGCTGCACGTTCACGTCCGCGTATATCCGCGCTTGCGACATATCGCGCGTCTCGTTACAACGACTTGCTCTTCGGATTTAAGACTTAACGAGACCAGCGGATATGCGGTCAATGCGCTCAACGAAAACAGACGGTCGTGAGAAAGTCAAACAACGTGAAACAGACGGTCAAAGCGTGACGGCGCGGACAATGTGTCGTCAGAAACGACCGTCATACACCCTTCTCCTGTCTCGCTGAACCTCCTACTAATGCTTGAAACTTGGTCGTAACCCTAATACGTGAACTGAGGGTGGACTAGCAACTGGCTTACCGTTAGCGTAAATTGGCAGGGAAAACAATCGAGGCTTGTGGTTGGAAGCCCGTCCGCGTTACAAGTTGTTTTGTAAATAGATTGGCATGTGTACAACAACCATCTCTATGAGCTGGTATTCTCAAGAATTGTTCAAGATACAGCGAATAAGGGTATACGAGCTTTGTGCACGCTTGAACATTGTTCTTCAAGCACAATACTCCATACCGCAGCAGCAAATGTGCTGGCAAGTTTTCCGCGTCACTGTTTACTTTTCCCACGCTTTGACTGACGCATGGGATGTCGTCGCCCATTTTCAACTCCCTGTCACTGAGGGTGAACAGTCGAACCTCAACGTACGGGTTAGGAACTTCCGAACCTCCAACACTAACCTACCAAGACCAGCGAAAAGCCAAAGCAGATGTAGATCCAGACCTGAAGCCCAGGTTCCCACTAGTTTGACTCGAGTCTCCCATTTTCCTCGTAAACAAGCTCCTAGTAGTTTGACGCTGGTATAAGTGGTCAGCAACTCTCGCATTCACTCACACCAGTAGCACACATTTGATCCTCTACTTGCTAAACCACTAGACTAGAAACCAGGTGCAGGAAATTAAGCATCTCTTGATCGCTCTGATAATCTGTAAGCACGATACCAGCCATGGCCGCATTCAGAGCGTTAGCCCTCGCGTGCGCGCTCCTCCTCGTGTCGACTTCCGCCTTGGCGCAGCGTGGTCCGCCTGGCGGAGGTCCTCCCGGCGGTCAGCGCGGAGGCCCTGGCGCCGGTTCCGGCGGGCCCGGCGGTCCTGGCGGTCGCGACGGCCTCGGCGGGCCTGGCGGGCCTGGCGGGCCTGGCGGGCCTGGCGGGCCTGGCGGACCGCGCGGTCCTCCGCTGAACCTCACCGCCGTCGGGAATCTGACGGCCGATATCGGAGCGCAGCTCGCCAACTGCACGGTGGATCAGAAGACCCTCAACGGCAGCTTCCACCTCGCCATCTTCAAGAACTCCACCGGAAATTACAATCTTCTGGTCGAGGCAATGCTGGTGGATGCGGCGGGCGGTCCGCCCGACTCGCTGGCGATCGTGAAGGGCGCCGTGTGCGACGCCGCCGCGACGGACGTGCTCGCGCTGCCGCTCGCCGCGGCGGACTGGCAGCAGCGCGCGGGGTGGTGGCTGCTGCACGCGGAGGCGCGCCTCGACGTGTTCCTCGAGAACGCGGACGCCGCCACCCTCGACGCGCTGCTCGCCGTGCTCCCCACCGCCTCGCCTCCGCCCACCAGCGGCGGCGGGCGCAACGGCGGAGGCAGCGCGGGGGGCGCACGGAACGGGCAGGGCGGGAGGCGCATGGGGCGTGAGCTGCTGATGGGCGCATTCGGCCGCGCTGCCAGGCAGGGGGGACAGAAGCAGGGGGGGCAGAAGCAGGGGGGGCAGCAGCAGGGGGGGCAACAGCAGGGGGGAGCGCAGCAGGCGCCTGCAGTGAGTGGGTATGCTGTGCTGGCGGGCAGCAGCGCAGCAGGTGTGACGTGGGGCGGGCAGCTCATGGGCGCCAAGATGCCCGCCGCTGCTGCTTGATGCTCCTCTGCCGTGCTGCGGGGTTTGGGGGTTTGAACCCAGCCTTGCAGGCTGCAGTTGTGGTTGTGATGGGCTCGAGGGCTTCTTAGCCATGTGTGTCTGGATAGGTTTGGTCTCTGGTTCGTGCTCCAGTAGCTCTAATAGGCCAAAGCATCAGGGGCAGGAATGCTGGCAAGGCATCAGGGAACACCAACTGACTTGCCAGTCTTCCTACCGCTGATAGTTTCTGTGCGGTTATTTGCTGTAATTGGTGTTGTGTGAGTAATGTCAAGTCAGAGTTTGTTATCTCTTTCCTTTTGGTGTCAGTGTTCTGAGATGAATGTATCTTTCACCTGAGAAGCAGATTTCTCAAGCTGAGAACGGTACTTTGATTGTTGAAATTAACACAGATTACTAATTTTAGGCAGTTTGGAATGGGATGTGCTTCTGGTGTACCGCTTTGGCCTCAGTAGCAGGACGCTCCTAGGTCGCGTCGCGTTTCAAGCCTGGAACCAACTTAGAGAAACCTTCGGAAAGCTCCGCTCTCAGTACTCTGAGCAGTTTTTCCCCACCCGACCCGAGCTTCCCGATTTCGTCTCACTTGCCGGCAGTTTCAGCCCTCGTTCAGCAGGCACGCAACATTCACGAAGCATATAACCTAGTTCTTAGGCCGTCATCAGCGAACCGCCCTAAGCAGGTACCTGTCGTAGAGTAAATGACGCAACGGATGGCGCCAGTGACGCGGGGAGCGCGAATGGCGCGGGAGAGGGAGCGATTATTGGCGGAGAAAAGGGGGGGGGAGGGAGGCGGAGAGTTCGGCGGAGAAGACGGCGGAGGCGAAACGGGAGGGGATGTGTATCCGCGACGAAAACGTATCGCGGATGTACGTTGGTGACACTACGAGCAGAGATTTGGACGGCCTTTTGAAAAAATTGAGCTTATAACGGGACGGGCAATAGCGAGTACAGGGGCGGGCAGGATGTTTCAAGAAGGGGGGGGAAGAAGCATTGCGCGGATAAGGGAGAGGATACCACCAGTTGTAGGCGCGTTCGCCGTTGCTGCCAAGCCAACGATCCAATGTATGCTCTTCTTTTGAGTCAACTCAAAAGTTAACTCGATCCAATGTATGCTCTTCTTTTGAGTCGACTCAAAAGTCAACTCGATCCAATGTATGCTCTTCTTTTGAGTCGACTCAAAAGTCAACTCGATCCAATGTATGCTCTTCTTTTGCATCTCCTGCCCCTCCGACCCGTCCCTCCCGCTGCCCATTCCCACTCCCTGCCCTGTCTCCCTCCCTGCCCCTACCTCCTGCCCCTCCTCGCCCCCTGCCCCGTTCCCCTGTCGCTTCCTCATGTCGCTTCCCCTTTCCCTTCCCCCTGGGCCCCCACCTTGGCCCTTTCTTTTGCCCCTCCCCCCCACCCCTTTCCCCTACTCCTCCACCCTTGCCCGTTCCCTGCTCCCGTTGAGCTATGCCATCAATCAAGGAGCTAGGCACTCAGAATATGGCAATACATATAGCTTTCGCTTCCCTTTCCTAATGCCCCTCCTCTCTGCCCCTTCGCTTTGCCCCTCCTCTTTTCCCCTTCCCTTTGCCGTTTTCCTTTACCCCTTCCTTCTCAACTTCTCCAGTGCCCTCCCCTTTTCCTTGCCACTCCCCCCTTCCCCTTCCCCCTTCCATTCCTCCTCCATTTTCAACCTTCCGTTTGGCCCTTCCCCTAGCCCCTTTATCTTTGCCCCTTTCACCTTGCCCTGCCTCCCTGCCCCTCAATATGCACCCCTCCCGCCTCCTTCCCCCTTGCTTCTTCCCCCGACCCCCTCCCCCTTTCTCCGGTCACCTGCCCCTCAACCTGCGCCGCTGTCCCCTGCACCCACCCACCAGTTCTTGGTGTGCTGCCTCTGAACGTTTTGTCTCCTTTACAGGACGGCTTCCTATCGTCCACACACGGCGCTGTGTTACTCGCTACCAGACCATTCTTTGTGTCACGGTGAGAGTAGGGAGAAGAGGGGGGGTGGGGAGGGAAGGGGGGGGGGAAGGGGGAGGGGAAAGGGGAGGTTATTTCCTGCTAGGCCAGAGCACCAGAGTACGTGTGAGGAGGGGTGGGGGGTGTGGGGGAATTGTCTGCTGCCTGAAACGGCCAAGTTCGCCCTGTTCTCATGGCACTATTGTAGCGGTGAGAGAAACGCGATGCACTGGGTGACGAGCAAGAACTAACTACAACCAATTTGCTCATAAGCCAATTCGGCTGGTGGCGATGGTATTTGGGCTTGCTGTTATGGATTCAACCTCCATTCAACCTTGTTTTGACTTCTTTGTTTTTTTCTCCTCCCCTGCTTTTTTATGCTAGAGCAGAGCACTAGTGAAAGAAGGAAGCTAGTGGCGAGCTTCTTGGTGCAACTGCGCAAACGCCGGTGGGACAGTGAGCGAAGAATGACACAGCAAGTGACTTGTGAGAAGAAAGTGGGATCTCGAAGTGACTTCAAAACAAAGCGTGCTTTTGCCTCTCGTTGTTGTGTGCACACCTCACTCTCCATATATGCACACATGGCCTCTTCCCTCGTATACCCACTCCCTCACAAATAATGCTAGACTCATGTTCCTGCACAGCTGGACTTCACAAGAGGACAATGACTCACTTCACGGCTCTTTTTGCATGTATGAATCGGTTCGGGTGGTCAAGATGGTGTTTAATGTGATGTTTTCAGCCTTCTTCAACTCTTCAAACCTTATCCAAGCCTACTTGACAACTCTTTCAAACCTCCTGCCAACCTCTTAAACCTCCTTCAAACCTCTTTTAAACTCCTAACACCCTCCCTCACAGCTTCCACTTCATCCTCCTTGCCTTCCCTCCCCCTCCCGTCAAGTCGTGCACATCCCATCCCTTCAGATAATGATGGAATCACCAGGCGCAGCATGAATGCAGTGAAGGTGTTCGTGGTCACACCACAGCTGGCAGCTCAGCCGTGGAGCTGGCAGCAGAGCCGTGAGACGATTGTTGAGATACCCCGATACAGTAGCTATGCTGCAGAGGGTGTTAGCCGGTCAATGGGTGTGACTGTGCAATGGGTTTGGATTGGCATGTGAGAGGCTAAGGCATGAGCATGGCATGCACATGGGCATGGGCATGGGCATGGGCATGAGCAGGGGCATGTGTTTCCATATCACTATAATAGGACAGTGGGTGCATGAGCTCCGATCAGGCCATTGACATCATGAGGATAAGGACCCCTTTCTCTTCCCCCTACAAGCCCTCCCCTCCCCCCTCACCTCCCTCTACCCACCAACTCCCCCTTTTTTCAGTTGTGCGTGCGCTAATTTTTTGCTTCAACAGGGTGGCAACTTCTTCAGCTAAGAAAATAGTCGTCGAATGCCTGCTGCTGTTCCTCTCATATACTTACCGAGAATAGCTAATACGGTACGTGGGTCACGCGAGAAGCAATGGGCAGTCAACAAAAACAGGTGGTAGTGAGAGGCGGCCGTGAGACTGTGAGGACATCGGACAGTCTTTGACGACCATCGAGCATCGAGCACTGAGCAACGAGATCTTTGCGAGTCTTGTCGAAATTCTCACCGTTGCTAGAAAACAGAGATACCGTATGGCATTTATCGCACAACGGCAACAGCTATGTGGGGTTGAACTGAGACACTACCACTCAGGGACAGGCAGGTACGGAACAGAGTAGGCACTGCCGTCTGGATACAAGTTTTTTTTTTCAAAAATCACTGCATGTGTTCCCCTGATCCTCTGGAAGCGGTGGCACAAACACAATCATCCAGTGTAAAAAATGAAACCAGAAGAAAGAAGCGTAACGAATGCTGCCATTGAAACTGTATCCTATTCTGCACCTGCCAACGTGCGGATTGTTGCTGTTGCCCCGATCTGCTCTGCTTTCGCGTTGACTCGCGTTTGAATTTTGTCGCGCATTTTCAACTCTCAGTAAGTGACGACGATGCCCAGATCGAACCTCCAGATTACACGATTTGTTCCGAACCTCCGGTATTACCCGAACAGACATGGCCTGGCGAGTTTCACAGGCAAATCCAAGCTTGAAGCCCAGACCGTGGTGGCTTTGACTCGTGTCCAACTTCCAAACCAAACCCTTGATGTTGACTACCCTATAAGTAGCCATTGACTTTCCTAACATACAATTGATGCCTGTTTGATCCCCTCCCGGTTGCCTTGTGAAGGGGGCGTATAAGCTGTATCGAGCATTTCGCATAAGTTTCGTCAATTCGCAGCTAGCTAAAAAGGATTCGCAGGTGCTTATATTAAGGATCTGTAACCTTATCCGTTGACATTTTGACTTTGGTCTCTTCAGTTTGACTTCGGTCTGTTCGTTACTATTGGTCCATAACCACGCGACGCGCTTGTATCGTGGGTGCAACAGGCTCGGGAAAAGACCTCGGGTGCAGCGTTTCCATCCGGGGCAGGGCAAATTCGCGTGCACTGGTTGGGCATCATGTGTATCACTCACCAACAGCTTCCATTTCTTACTCCGCTTGCTTCACCAAGCTTTAGCTCCCAAAACAGAGCGACGAGAAACAGCATAATTCACCACTTCGTATATCGAAGCGCGACATCAGCCATGGCATTCAGATCCTTATTCCTCGCGTGCGTGCTCCTCCTCGTGTCGACGTCCGCCTTGGCGCAGCGTGGTCCGCCTGGCGGAGGTCCTCCCGGCGGTCAGCGCGGAGGCCCTGGCACCGGTTCCGGCGGTCCCGGCGGTCCTGGCGGTCGCGACAGTCCCGACGGGCCCGGCGGACCGCACGGCCCTCCGCTGAACCTAACGGCCGACGGGAATCTGACGGCCGATGTTGGCGCGCAACTCGCCAACTGCACTGTGGATCAGAAGACCCTCAACGGCAGCTTTCACCTCGCCGTCTTCAAGAACACGACCGGAAATTACAATGTGCTCGTCGAGGCGCTGCTGGTGGACGCGGCGGGCGGTCCGCCCGACTCGCTGGCGATCGTGAAGGGCGCCGTGTGCGACGCCGCCGCGACGGACGTCATCCCAAAAAAGTTCGGGCCAAAACCCTCCCCCCAGGTTACCCACAGCTTACCCTGTAGCGGGTAACCCCGGGGTCGTTGTCTAGGTGACCCGCGGGTCACCTCGACAAAAGTCACTTCGCGTGGTGACCCCGAGGTCACCCACAGGTGGTGACCAACGGGAAACCCCTCCCATCATGCGGGAGCGAATCAGACGTCGCTCCGCTGCCCACTGTACAGTAAACGGTTCGTGAAGCTGTGAAGCTCTCAACGGTACACCCAGAGCATTCGCAATTTCTATTCCTTACAATCGATCGGTCAACTTTTCTGTTACTCGCTTAAAGGCTGACTCGGTATTAGCTACAGTCTCGAATTTACGAAAAGTCTCAAGATACGTGTGTGTATAGAAAAGTGATACAAAAGGAATTTCGATAAACGCACCCTCAGGTCTACCCGTTTGAGTTTGACTCGATATTCGTCATGCAATTTGCATTCAGACAAAATCGTTAAGATTGTACATTTCGTTATAACGTCTTTTAATACAAAGCGTGTGCATTTCAACCATTTAGTTATATTTGCACTACAGCATAGCACAATAAATATCAATACTTGCTAACATGCAGATAAACGTGTATAGCTAACATGCAGATAAACGTGTATAGCCAACATACAGAACGTTTCAAATCTATGAACTCCCTGTGGCAAGCGCTCCGTGCATTGCTCACTACCCGAAGTACAATGCGTGCTTCTGCAACACAGCAGTCGGCGAAAAACAGGAATAACAGAAACACGAATAATGCGAAAAGAGTGCCAAACGAGTCGAAAACGACGCTGTCGAAACGAACACGCGACACGTTAGCAGGAAACGGATTACCAGATGACGTGCCTCGACACGTCAAGAGCCTCGCCACGGAGAGTAGCCTGGAGGAAAGAGCAAATTGGATAAGTTTATTAAAAGGCAGCGGAAGAGCACAAAGGCAATACGGGGGGTTTGCTTACCTCGCAAACGGAATCTAGAGCTCCACACGTAAGCGCCCGAGATGACGGTAGTTGATACCTACAAAGCAGCACACATGGCTCGAGAAAACAGTTAGCAACTGATCGATGGCATAAGAAATCGCCAAGTTTTGGACATGGCAGCGAGATAATAGAAGCGCGAACTTGACAGCTGCACAACACAAGAGAATGAGAGAAGTCGGCGAGATGATGTGGTGAAATAAATCGAAGTGAACAGCTGTTTTAACGCTCGCGCTAGTCGTGAGAAGCTGTTTCTTGTTCAAGTACAGCGGCTCTCATACTAGCTGTTCTAAGTGTGTATCATGACATGAGCTGAAGTTGAAGTTAAATATGACGATTGTTTAGAGTAGCAGGGTGGATAAGTAGTCTGAAGGTGCAGGGAGAAGAGAGGGAGAAGAAGGTGCTGTCGAAGAGCTTTGATTGGTTCGTGATCTTTCATGTGCCACGTAACCCAACCCATCACTGTATTCCAACATATTGAGCGATGAGATAACAAAGACGAAATCAGATAAAACTAAACTGTAATATTTCATACCAACAGGCTTAGAGAAGAGGTGTAGAGAGTGTACGTACCTTACCAACCTGTCTGGGAATCCCGTGCGTCGCAGCCTCGGCAGAAGCAGAGAAGCGAAGAAGTACCGCGCCATTGTCAAATTATATGTTGACTGTTATCTAGGCTGTAGTGGGTTTAGCCTTAGGGGGTACAGTAAATTGCTCGACACTTCTTGTACCCCCTCCCTCTTACCGAATCCTCATTCCTTCCTAGCTAATCTCAACATGGTATTTAGAGCGAAATGGTCCTTAGGACCGAATTTTTAAACGGGCCCACCACTCCAATTTCGATCTGCTGCCCGAGTCACGCCCCTAGGAGAAACGCGAAATGCGCCCTAGGCGAGACGTTTTTCTGCCTTAGGAACGTCCCGTCCCCTAGCTGCCCTAGGCGCGATTCCTCTGCCTAGTCACGTGCGACCCCTCCTGACCGCGCCCTAGCTGCCCCGTGCGCCACTCACGCGGCCCGCCAGCCCCTACGCCCGGTCCCCCCTCGTTCCTGCTGCTGCGCGCGCCACTCACGCTGCCCGCCAGCCCCTAGCGCGCACCTGCTGCGCGCCCGTTTTAAGCTGCTCCGCGCGCACCTGTTGCGCGCCCCTGGTTTGCTAGCCCACAGCCCGCGCGTGCCTACTGCTGCTGTGCGCCGACTGCTGCTACTGCTGCGCTGCTGCTACTGCTCAGCTGCTGCTGCTGCTGCTGTTAAGCTGCTGCTGCCGCCTGCGCTGCTGCTGCTGTTAAGCTCCTGCTGCCGCCTGCGCTGCTGCTGCTGCTGTGCTGCGCTGCAGCTGCTGCTAAGCTACTGCTGCCGCTTGCCTTGAGCGTGCCCTGCCCTTCTGTGGGCTGCTGCGCTGCTGCTACTGCTGCGCTGCTCCTACTGCTCAGCTGCTGCTGCAGCCGCCTAAGCTATTGCTGCCCCGTGCGTTGCTGCTATTGCTGCTGCTACTGCTGCTGCTGCTGCTACTTGCTGCAGCTGCTCCTCCTTGCTGCTGCTGCTGCTGCTATTAAGTTGCTGCTGCCGCCTGCGCTGCTGCTGCTGTTAAGCTGCTGCTGCTCCTGTTAAGCTGCTGCTGCCGCCTGCGCTGCTGCTGCTGTTAAGCTACTGCTGCCGCCTGCGCTGCTGCTGCTGCTGCTGCACTGCTTCTATTGCCCTGCGCTGCGCTGTTGCTCTGCACGCGCGGCTGCCCTGCCCTGCACGCGCGGCTGCCATGCCTTTGCTGCTGCACTGCTGCTAACCTGCTGCTGCTGCTTGAGCCGCCCTGCTGAGCCGAGTTGCTCCGTGCGTTAGTGCTGCCCTGCCCCCTGCACTCGTGCCGCTGCTGCTGCTACTAGGCTGCTGCTGCCACCTGTGCTGCTACAGCTGCGCTGCTCCTACTGCTCAGCTGCTGCTGCTGCTAGGCTGCTGCTCCCGCCTGCGCTGCTGCTACCACCTGTGCTGCTGCTGCTGCGCTGCTGCTACTGCTGCGCTGCTACTACTGCTCAGCTGCTGCTGCTTCCACTAGGCTGCTGCTGCCGCATGCGGTGCTGCTGCCACCTGTGCTGCCGCTGCTGCCACCTGTGCTGCCGCTGCTGCCGTAACTGCCACTCCTGCTGCTTGCTACCGTTCGTGCTGCTATGGCGACTCCCACTGTTCTAGCCTTTGACGCAGTGGGGCAACCTTTAGGGTTTGACTCCAGGCTAGAGGGGCTGCACCTGTACCTCCGGAGTGTTAAACGGGACAACGTCTCCCTGTTCGAGCACACGTCGGGGTCCCTTCCGGCCCCAGAGGCTCCTGCTGAACCTACTGCTGACGCTGAGGAGGAGGAGCGGACGCAGTTCCGCGCAGCTCACCTTGCCTACAACCGGTGGATGGCGCGAGACGCTGCCGCCTCACTTGCAGTCCGCCTTCACCTCTCGTTCGACCAGCGAGCCTTCTTCCCCAGGAGTCAGGTGCCGTCGGCCCATGTTTTGTATCCCACTGTGGTTAGGCGCTACTCCCCCCCCCCCTCCTGCAGTCCTAGGCTGTCTTGCGCTGCCTCTTACCTTCCCTGCGCTGACAGACCTCACCACTGTAGCTAATGAGGGTCGTAGTGGAGCTGGCGGGAGTGGCGGGGGCGGGCACCAGGAGTTAGAGCCTTTGTGTCTCGCTGTTTGTGCGCCTACTAGCACAGTCTATGCGCACCCCTCCACTGTTCTCCCGTGTCTCGTAGTCCCCTCTGCCTCCTCTGGCTCGACCGAGGGGGATGATCCTACTGCTGCCGACACATTGACCTCTCGCCGCTCACCGCGCTTGGAGACACCTCCGGGTTTTCCGCCCCGGACGTCTTCGCCTCCTCTGCAGCTTGTCGCTGAGGACTTCGGGGGCCCATGTGTTGTTGGGGGTGGTGACGCTGAGGGTTTTGGTTCTGGGGGTGCTAGTTCTGGGGGTGCTGCCTCTGGGGGTGCTAGGAGTCCTCTTGTTGGTGGAGTTGGAGGTACTGGCGCTAGAGGTGCTGGGTCTGGGGGTGCGTTGCAGTCGCTGCCACGACAGTCTATCTTCTTTGAGCAGCCGTCGTCGTGGCTACCTGAGCCGACGCCCACTTGTACTACTCCTCTGTTGTTTCCGCCGCGTGTCTCCCCACTGCCTGCTCCTGCTTGATACGTCCCGTTGTCCGTCTTCCTGACTAGGCGTCGGGAGCCTGTGTCTTGTGCCGCCTCCCCTGCTCCCTCTCGTGTTACTCGGGAGCCTGTTGTCCTGCCGTTACCTCCCCCGTCTTCTCTTCCTCCTGTTCCTGACCCTGTGTCTGACCTTGCTCGTGTTGCCAGCCCGACTGTCCCTCGTAGTCTAGCCGCGCTTGTGACTGCACCTGCTTCTTCGACTGCTGTTGCTTCTGCCTTAGTAGCTGATCTCACTGGTTTTGCCGCTACTTGTCGTCGTACCTACCTTTCTGGTCTCGTCTCTATCTCTTCGTGTCCTCCGTTCGTTGGGGGTGAGTTTGCCCTTGGCTGTGACGTCATTGAGGACACGCAGTTCGAGCTGGTGTACCATCCTGCGCACTGGCGAGCTGCTAGGAGGGTGTTGCGCTACCTGGTCAGACTAGCGAGCAGAACGTAGCACTTTGCACTTCGTTCCTTTGCCGTGCGAGTGTTGCTGCAGCGTTCCCAGCTTCGCCTTTGTACGTGGCCACACGAGCCAACACTGCTTGTCTCTTGATCTTGTCTTGTACTTTGATATATAAACCTGCATGTTTCTGGTTGCTAGGTTGTAATCATTGTACTGCTTGCTCTATTATAAACCTGCACGTGAACTGGCCTTGTGGCCGCTTGCTAGTGCTCAGAATGCGTGGTGATCTTGAGATCCACCCTGAGCTTGCTTTGCTTTGTTTCTTCTCTTGACTGGTCTTGTGACCTCTTCTTGTGTTTGCTATCTCCCACTTCGCCTATGGGGGTGTGTCAAATTATATGTTTACTGTTATCTAGGCTGTAGTGGGTTTAGCCTTAGGGGGTACAGTAAATTGCTCGACACTTCTTGTACCCCCTCCCTCTTACCTAATCCTCATTCCTTCCTAGCTAATCTCAACAGCCATCTACTTTCCCGCCAAAGATGGGGTGACCTTGGGGTACCCTCCCGAACTGTAAAATTTTCCGATTGGTCGAAATTATGTTACCACGTTGGGCGCTAAGGTTTTTGGTCGTTGCTGACGTCGCCAGTGTCTTTGGGTGAGCTGTAGGTAACACAGGGGGAGCTTGTGGGTTACCCCGTGAGGGTGACCCCGGGGTCTCCCGCGTTTCCAAAGTGATTATTGCGTGTGGAATTTTGGGATGGTGCTCGCGCTGCCGCTCGCCGCGGCGGACTGGCAGCAGCGTGCGGGGTGGTGGCTGCTGCACGCGGAGGCGCGCCTCGACGCGTTCCTCGAGAACGCGGACGCCGCCACCCTCGACGCGCTGCTCGCCGTGCTCCCCACCGCCTCGCCTCCGCCCACCAGCGGCGGCGGGCGCAACGGCGGGGGTATCAGCGCGGGAGGCGCGCGGAACGGGCAGGGCGGGAGGCGCATGGGGCGGGAGCTGCTGATGCGCGCATTCGGCCGCGCTACTAGGCCGGGGGGTCAGAAGCAGGGGCAGAAGCAGGGGGGACAGCAGCAGGGGGGAGCGCAGCAGGCGCCTGCAGTGAGCGGGTATGCTGTGCTGGCGGGCAGCAGCGCAGCAGGTGTGACGTGGGGCGGGCAGCTCATGGGCGCCAAGACGCTTGCCGCTGCTGCTTGATGCGCCTCTGCCCTGCTGCCGCTGCTGCCGCTGCTGTTGGATCAGGAAAATGTGTTGACAGTCATTGCCGGTGCTGCTACTGCCGCCTTTGAGCATTCGAACCCAGCCTGTTGCACGCTGTAGGCGTGGTTGTGATGGGCTGGAGCCCTGGGGGCGTCTAAGATGTGTGTGCCTGGATAGGCTTGCTCTAGTTTTGCTCTGTTTCCTGCTAGTAGCTAAAGTAGGTCAAAGCATCAGGGGCAGGAATGCTGGCAAGGCATCATGTGTCACCAGTTGACTTGCCAGTCTTCCTACCCTTGGTTGTTATTGTGAGCTTATTCCCTGTGATTGGAGTCTACCGTATTTGTGACTTGAGTACAGTATTTGTGTTTTCAGTTCTCAAGCTGAAGGATTGCACCCGAGGAACGAATACGGTAACAGGAAAGCCACTGATGACTATTTATAAGCAAATTGGAATGGGATGTGTTGCTGGTGTACGGTACTGGGCGTGGTGGCTGGGCGCTCTTACTGGTAGTTCGCGTCGCGTTTCTAGCCTGACACTATAGTTGAACCCAACTTCCGAGAGCTCGGGTGCTTCGAGAGATGCGCCGTTTCCCCGCACCCGAGCTTTCCGTTTCCGCCTCACCTGCCAACAGCTTCAGGCCTCTTTAGGCATTTTCGAGATGGAGCATAGTGCTTAGGTCGTCAGCGGCAAGCCTCTTTCGGCAGGAGCTTACATTTTGATAGTAAGCGTGATTAGGTCTCCTTGCAACGATTCCAGCAATGGCAAGCACAAGTTAGAAAGTACCGCCATATTCGGGTGCTTGACCCAGCCGCCAAGTCCTGTTCGTTTATTATATCAATTTATATCGGGGATATCGCGGTAGAGTCTACAGCGGATGACGCCAGTGTGATTCAAGTGGGGAGCGCGATGGGGAAGCGGAAGCGGAAGCGAATGGGGAAAGGGATTTACTTATGGCGGAGAGATGGCGGGCGGTGGAGAGTTTTGCTGGAAGATCTGGCTGAGGAGTTGGGGAGAGGACGTGTTTAACAGCGGCGAGGCAGTACTGCGGGTTCGCAGCAGTGGAATGACGAGCAGAGAGACGGACGTCCCTTTGAAAGTAGGAGCTTATAACGGGACGAGCAATATTGAGTACGGGGGCGGACTGGGGATTGTAACGGGGGGAAGAGCATTGTGTGGATAAGGGAGGGGATTCTGCCAGCAGTAGGCGCAGAGAAGGCCGTGCCACGTGGCATGGTGATATTGGTTCGTCTTTCAAAAACCTGTTTTGCAGCTAGGCATGGGTATGGCCACTAATCTAGGAGGTAGGTACACAGAATATGGCATATAGTGTCATAACAAGGGTTGAAGCGTATTGCTGCTGCAGCTTAACAATCCACAATTCCTCTCTCTGCCCCTTCGTTTTGCCAACTCCCGTCTGCCCCTCCCCACTTTCCCCCCTCCTTGTTTCTCCCACATGCCCCTTCTCCTTTCCTCTTCCCCCTGTTCCCCTTTTGCCCCACCTTTGCCCCTTCCCCTGCCCTTTTCCCTTTTCCCCTTCCCCCTTGCCCCGCCTCCCTGTCCCTCAACACGCCCCCCCCCCCCCCCCCCCCTCCCTCCCCGCCTCCTCTTGCTCCTCCCCTTGCCCCCCTCTTGCTTCTTCCCGTGACCCTCCCCCCTTGCTCCGTCCCCCTGCCCCTCAATCTGCACCCCTGCGCTCTGTTCCTCCCCCTCGGCACTGCCTCTGAACCCTCTGTCCGCGTTAGGAGCGTCCCCTTTACAGATAGTTCCTCTCGTCCACATACGGCGCTGTGCAACTCGTTACCGGGCCATTCTTCATGTCACGGTGAGAGAAGGGAGACGGGTGGAAGGGGGGAGAGAGGGGGGGAAGGGGAGGGGAGGGGGAGGGGGAGGAGAGGGGGAGGGGGAGGAGAGGGGAGGTGGAGGAGAGGGGGAGGGGGAGGATGACTTCCGTGAATGTCAGGAGGGGTGGGGGGTGTGGGGGAGTTGCCTGCTGCTCTAAGTGACTCAGTTTCCCCTGTGCTCGTATCTAGAGCAGAACACCAGTATAATGGTGAGAGAAACATGACGCACTGGCTGACGAGCAAGAACAGGTTTCCATCTCTCGTTGCTGTGCGTCTGCCTCACTCTCGATGCACACGCAAATGAGCTATTCCCTTGTTTCCCTTGGCAAAATGGAATCTGCCCTACTTATGTTCGTGCATGTCGATTCTGACATTGTTTCACTTAGGATGGGCATGGGCATGGGCACAGGCATGGGCATAGGCATGCATGGGCATGGGTAGGGCCATGGGCACGGGCAGATGCACAGCCATGCCAAAAACCACTGGGCAGGGGCATCTCCTCATCTCCTCATCTCCTCCTCTCCTCATCTCCTCATTTCCCCATCTCCACCTCTCCTCATCTCCTCATTTCCCCATCTCCTCATCTCCTCCTCTCATCATCTCCTCCTCTCATCATCTCCTCATCTCCTCATCTCCTCCTCTCCTCATCTCCTCATCTCCTCATTTCCTCATTTCCACATCTCCTCATTTTCCCTTCTCCTCATCTCCTCCCCCCATCTCCTCCTCTCCTCATCTCTCCATCTCCTCCTTTCCCATGTGCTTCTGGGAATCACCAAGCACAGCATGAATGAATTCAAGGCGTATGTGGCTGGTCACACCACAACCACACTATGTTGCACCTGACGCGTCCAGTGTCCATGACGCTAGCGTCCAGACGCTAGACGCTCGGGTGCGACTGTGGTGGACGCTCACTTGACGCTCGTCCGGGCAGGGGAGCATTTTTTCAACGGGCAGGGGGAGAAAAACCAGCGGTAGTAAAGCAAAGCAGGGGTTAAGACGAATAACATGACATGTTTACCAAAATCTCCAGAAACATCACAATATCCCCAAAATTCACACACGAGTCAATTACCAAGGTTCACACATGCATAAGTTAGGGGGCTGTGGGCACATATTTGTCATCAAGCACACGGTCGTTGTTGGAGGTGGGCAGGTGGGGCTTGGAGCAGGGCAGGTGGGGCGCCTGTTTGCAGGGGTGAGGGTCAGTGAGGCGGTTGGAACAGCTAGTCACCCTGTCATGGAGTAGTGATGAAGGCGTATGAGGTAGGTACGATCCCACCGTGCCCGCCAACACAGCCGTGAAGCAGGACAGGTGAGGAAACTGTTGAAATGTCTTCAACTGTGAGCTGGGCAATGGGTGAGGTTTGATGGGTGAGGATTGATGGGTGAGGTTTGGCAATGGGTGAGGTTTGACAATGGGTGGGGTTTGGCAATTGGTGAGTTTTGGCAATAGGTGAGGCTTGGAAAATGGGTGGGATTGGGCAATGGGTGGAATTGGGCTGTACTGGGATGTGGGAGAGGTTCGGCAATGTGAATACTGGTTCAACAAGTGGGAGGCTAGGGCATGGGCAATGGGCAGGCATGGGCACGGGCATGGGCATGGGCATGGGCACAGACACACAGTCATTGCTATGCGAGTGAGTAAGTGGCTTTTACAGGCAACCATTCAGACACTTCAATGCTCTATGTTGCATGTCTGTAGATGCCACTGCACCATCACCTCTCCCCCTCACAGTTGCCCTCCTTCCCCTCTCCCCTCACAGTGTATCCATTTCACCACTGTAGGATTGCAGGCGCACAAACTCACAGCAGTTCATGAACCTCATGAGGATCAAAATATCTTGAGCCCCTCGCATATGCCACACGGCCAGTCAACAAAAGCAGGCGGGCAATGCGAGCACAAGAAGAAAAAATCGCTCATGAGACGGCCAGTTGAGCACCGAGCTTTCTGCTCTCTTGTCTTCCTGAATCTCTTACTGCTGCTTGAAACTTTCTGATTGAAAATTATAACGCAGAAACAAGACGACTTTTGCAAATCGTCTAACACATGTTACTGGAAGACCGGAGGGGGTAGAACTCCTCTAAGACTATTAAACAAGGAAGATTTCACAACAGTCTCATTTGTTGATGCATTTACTAAATCATGTAATGACTAACAGTGCTGCTACTACAGAAAATACAGTCTAGATAGCGAGCCAGCCAATACCCGACTCTTTTCGCGCTGACTGAGGCGTTGAATATTGTCGCTGATTTTCAACTTTGTCGGCAACCTTGTGTGCACCAGTCTCTGGTTTGTTCCGAACCTCTGAAGCGAACCCACAACTTCTGGTGCTCCCAAACGGAAATCCACAAACCTGGAACCAGTTGTGAGAGCTTTGACTCGCGTCTCCTCTGTTCCACCTAGCTCCCCTCGCTTGTATATAGCCATTGCCTCTCCTCATTTCACTCACCCACCAACACCTTCCACTACATCCTCGACTTCTCTCACCCAACATAGAGTGCTTTGAAAGCATCTCGTCACTCGCAGCTAGTAACAGCGGGAAGCAAACTCTTTCCACTTCGTCAATCTCAGCACGGAAGTAGTAGCCATGGCCGCGTTCAGAGCGTTAGTCCTCGCGTGCGTGCTCCTCCTCGTGTCGACGTCCGCCTTGGCGCAGCGTGGTCCGCCTGGCGGAGGACCTCCCAGCGGTCAGCGCGGAGGCCCTGGCGCCGGTCCCGGCGGTCCTGGTGGTCGCGACGGTCCCGGCGGGCCTGGTGGAAAACCGCCGCATGGCCCTCCGTTGAACCTGACGGCCGTCGGGAATTTGACGGCAGATGTTGGCGCGCGGCTCGCCAACTGCACCGTGGATCAGAAGACCCTCAACGGCAGCTTCCACCTCGCCGTCTTCAAGTAGGCTTCGCTGCTTCCTTTCTCTCGCCTAGCATCGCGAGAAAACGATAGTCCGTTTTGCAATCGGTTTCCAATCGCTACCAGGGCTTAGTTCTAGGATTGACTTCCGCACGAATTACTCGGCATCTTCTGATCGTCACGCAATGCATTGCGTTTTCCCCTCTTCCCCCCTGCCCCGTCCCCCTCCCCTCTTTCCTTGCCTTCTCGCAGGAACTCTACCGGAAATTACAATCTGCTGGTGGAGGCGGTGCTGGTGGACGCGGCGGGCGGTCCGCCCGACTCGCTGGCGATCGTGAAGGGCGCCGTGTGCGACGCCGCCGCGACGGACGTGCTCGCGCTGCCGCTCGCCGCGGCGGAATGGCAGCAGCGCGCGGGGTGGTGGCTGCTGCACGCGGAGGCGCGCCTCGACGCGTTCCTCGAGAACGCGGACGCCGCCACCCTCGACGCGCTGCTCGCCGTGCTCCCCACCGCCTCGCCTCCGCCCACCAGCGGCGGCGGACGCAACGGCGGGGGTAGCAGTGCCGGCGGAGGCAGCGCGGGGGGCGCGCGGAACGGGCAGGGCGGGAGGCGCATGGGGCGGGAGCTGCTGACGCGCGCATTCGGCCTCGCTGCCAGGCAAGGGGGACAGAAGCAGGGGGGACAGAAGCAGGGGGGACAGAAGCAGGGGGGGCAGCAGCAGCAGGGGGGAGCGCAGCAGCCACCTGCAGTGAGCGGGTATGCTGTGCTGGCGGGCAGCAGCGCAGCAGGTGTGACGTGGGGCGGGCAGCTCATGGGTGCCAAGATGCCCGCCGCTGCTGCTTGATGCTCCTTTGCCGTGTTGCTGCTGCTGCTGCCGTTGGTCCTGCTTGAACTCATCCCGATGCATGCTGAGATTCCTTCTGTTGCTGCTGCTTGCGGGATCACTGCCTTGAGGACGGCTGTGGCATCGGCTTGGTACTTTCATGGCAAACAAGCACCTGGAGGGTGTGATGGGTTTCAGGGCTTTATCAGTGTGTGTGTCTGGACTGGATAGCTTTGCTTAGTCTCCCGGGAAGCAGCTAAAATAGGTGAAAGCATCAGGGGCAGGAATGCTGGCAAGGCATTAGGGGACACCAACTGACTTGCCAGTCTTCCTACCCCTGATTGTTCCTGAGATGATATTTGTTGTTATTTGTGTCATTTGTGTGGCCGTGGGTAATTGATAGTCAGTGTTTGTTCTCTCTTTCTTTTTTTGTCAGACATGTTTCGGGATAGAAATATCTTCACCTGAGAGTAACAGATCTCTCAAAACATGTTGTTGCTCTGAAATATGAATAACAAGATAAACACGGATCGATATTCATAAGAAACTCGAATGGGATGTGTTGCTGGTGTACCGCGTTAGCCACAAACCTATGCTTTTAGGTCGCGTCGCGTTTCAAGGCTGGAAAATGTGCTCGTCTCCCCACACCCCCTCCCTCGTCTCACTTGCCCCAACGGTCACGACATAGTAGTGCTTCGGTAATTAGCAGCAAACCGCTCTAAGCACGCTCATGCAGTCCTATTATAAGCGTAATTAGGTCTCCAAACAGCGATTAAAGGCAATTATACGCTTGTAAGTTCCGCCAGACTTGTCGCCGCCTGAACCAGGCCGCCACCCTCCTGTTCGTGTACACGATCAGTTTGTAGCGGGAAACCCAGAGTCGAGTAGGTGACGCCGCGGATGGCGCCAGTGCGATTCAAGCGGGGAGCGCGAATGGCGCGGATGGCGAAAGCGGAAGCGAATGAGGAGGGGGAGCGGTTATTGGCGGAGAGATGGCAGGCGGCGGAGGGTGCCGCGGGGAAGGGTGGCGGAGGAGCTCTGTATCGCGGATGCGCATCAGTGGAATGACGAGCAGAGAGACAGTCGGCCTGTAGAAAAACGTAGCTTATAACGGGACGGGCAATAACGAGTACGGGGACGGGCAGGACATTGTAACGCGGGGAAGAAGCATTTTGGGGATAAGGGAGGGGACATCGCCAGCTGCAGTTGCAGGTGCAGAAGCATTACTGCCGTGGGCGTGCATCCCGATGTTGGTGCTCTTTTGCATCTACTGCTCCTCCAGCTCACCCCTCCCCCTGCCCCTTTCCCCTCCCTGCCCCTATCCCCTGCTTTTTCTCCTCACCTGGCACTTTTTCTTGTCCTTTCCTCATGTCGCTTCCCCCTTTCCCTCCCCTTACCCCCCCTACCTTTCGCCCGTTCTCTTTTGCCCCTTCCCTTTGCTCCTTCCCTCTGCCCCTCCCACTCTGCCTCTCCCTCCTGTCCCTCCCACATGCCACTTCTCATTTCCCCGTCCCCCTGTTCCCCCCTTACCCCCCCTTTGCCCCTTCCGATTGCACCTTCCCTTTGCCCATTTCCCCTTCCCCCGCCTCCCAGTGCCTCAACATGCGCCCCCCCCCCTGCTCCTTCCCCCTGCCCCTCCCTTGCTTCTTCCCCTGACCCTTCCCCCGTTGCCCCGTACCCCTGCCCCTCAACCTGCGCCCCTGCGCTCTACTCCTCCCCCCCCTGGTACCTCGTGTGCTGCCTCTGAGCCCTCTATCCGCGTTAGGAGCGTCCCCCTTTACAGGTCGACTTCCTCCGTCCACATGCGCAACTCGTTACCGCGCCATTCTTCGTGTCACGCTAACGTGGGGAGGTGAGAGCAGCGGGAGAGGGGGGGGGCAGGGGGGTGAAGTGGGGAGGGGGAGAGGGGGAGGGGGGAATTGCTTCCCGCTAGGGCAGAGCACCTGTGTAAAGTTCGGGAAAGGTGGGGGTTGTGGGGGAAGTGTTGCCTGCTGCCCGGAGCGACTCAATTCGGGCTATGCTCATATCTAGAGCACAACACCAGCATAAAGGATAGGAAAAGTGACGCACTGGATGACAAGTAAGAAGCAAAACAGAGTTTCATCTCTCATGGCTGCGTGCATGCATCACGTAGATATCAACATTTTTTCACTTCCCAACTCTGCGTTTCATGCATGAGTTGATTTGGCTGGTGCAGGTGGTTTTTCACCTGGCGTAATGGATTCTCTCTTCAGCCAAATCAACTCATGCATGAAATGCAGGTTAGTTTTGAGAATTCTCAAAACTAATCTCAAACAAAATGGACTACATCAACCTCGGTTTGTATCAGCTTGGCGGCTTCCGTATAAGATTGGTAACAAGTTAGTTAGGGCTAAATTGGTGTAGCGTGGTTCTATTTTGTAACGAGGATGTGTACCACCAGAAAGTTGGTGAACAACCTCCTCGGTAGTATTCTGCATGCATGGACAGCTAGATAGATAGCTGTAGAGGTAGCTGGCGTAGCAATTCTCTAAGTAGTAGTTCAGTCGCGACTTGGGATATTTCCCGAGGTTCGCTGACGACGGGAGGGAGAGACAGGGTAGAAAAGGGATGATGAGTTAGTCAGTTAGACTTGCACTGCGCTGATGAAGGCTTTGTTGCCGAAACGCGTACGCACGCACATCCCAGGCGATGTTTTGTCTTACCGATTGACTTACTAAGTCTTTCTTCTACTCGCTTTCTTCTCTCCTAGTTGAATCTGGTTAGATCCATTCAGATCTAGACACGAGAGACCTCAGTTGGCTTGCTGCGATCGAATCCGCCCTTAAACAACATCTCTCTTCAGCCAAATCAACTCATGCATGAAATGCAGGTGGCGTAATGGATTCCTTCTTCAGTAGCCGCTCCATTGAACCCTTTTTATCTCATTTTTCATCTCAACCTTCTTGAAACCTTCCTACTGTTACTAGCGCACAGCACTTGTGTCACTGTAAGAGGAGGAGGGCAGGGGCGAGTTGCTTGCTACTAGGGCACAACACCAGTGTAACGGTGAGAGAAAGATGATTCAGCAAGTGACTTGTGGAAAGAAAGCGGAATCAGCTGCTACTGAGCTGAATTCAAAGCAAAAGGAATTTCCGTCTCTCAATGTTTTGAGCATGCCTCACTCTCTGTATATACACACATGGTTTCTTCCCTCATGTGCCCACTCCCTCACATATTGGATTTTGCTTGACTTATGTTCCTGCTCAGTTGGGTTTCACAGTAGGACAATCGTTCCCTTCACAACTCGTTCTTGCATGTATGAGTCGATTCAAGTGGTTTAGATGGTGTTTGCTGTGATGAATTCAGCCTTCTCCCAATGCTCTCTTAACCTCCTTGAAACTGCCCTTGAACCTCCTTCAAACCCTTTAAAACCCTAGCAACCTCCCTCACAACTTGCTTTTCAACCTCCTTGCCTTCTCCCCACCTCCCTTCGATACATGGTTGTCCCATCCTGTCAGACGATCGCAACGAGCACAGCTTGAATGCAATCAAGGCGAATGTGGCCGACCGGCGATCACACCACGCCCATCAACACATGAGGTCCGCAGGTGAGACAAGTTGTGAGATGTTTCCAAACAGGGGATAGGCAGTGGGTGTGGATGGGAAATGGGTGAGGCTGGGCGATGGGTGAGGTTGGGGAATGGGCGAGGTTGTACGTGGGTGAGGTTTGGCAATGGGTCAGCCTGGTCAGGCTGGGCAAGTGGTGAGGTTTGGCAATGGGTGAGGTTCGGCAGTGGTTGAGGTTGGGCGAAGGTTGAGGTAAGGTAATGGATGTGGTTGGGCAATGGGTGAGGTTGGGCCATGTATGAGGTTGCAGAATGGGCGAGGTTGGCGGTGAGATTGGGGAAGAGGTGATGTTGGGAAATAAGTGATGCTGGGAAATGGGTGATGTTGGGAAATAAGTGATGCTGGGAAATGGGTGATGTTGGGAAATGGGTGATGTTGGGAAATGGGTGATGTTGGGAAATGGGTGATGTTGGGAAATGGGTGATGTTGGGAAATGGGTGATGTTGGGAAATGGTTGATGTTGGGAAATGGGTGATGTTGGGAAATGGGTGATGTTGGGAAATGGGTGATGTTGGGAAATGGTTGATGGTTGGGCGATGGGTAATTTCGGGAATTCGATGAGGTTAGGGAATGGGTGAGATCGGCCAACGGCTTGGGTTGGGCAATGGTGATGCTGGCTCGATGGGGTTGGATTGGCAGGTGGAAGGATGGGGCATGGAAATGGCATGCACATGGGCAAGCACGTGAGCATGGGCATGGGCATGGGGATGGGCATGGGAATGGGCATTGGAATGGGCATTGGCATGTGTATGGGAATGCACATGGGCATGGCATGGGAATGGCCATGTGAAAAGCATGGGAATGGGCATGGGCAGGAGAATGGGCGTGCCTATAAGCACTGGTGGTACTTCAGTTGTAGAGTCTAGTCACAAGGCATACATAGAGACATTGCTATGCGAGAGACTGAGTGGACTCTGAAGGCATTCATAAGCCACTGCTCTGCCATATATTTCATGCTACAACATGTCACTTCACCTTTGCCTCTAACTCTCGCCGCTCCCCTCATTCGCAGATTCACTTTCCCCTTCCATTCTGCCTTCTCCCCTTATCCCTCACCATGCTTCCATCCCATACTACAGGTATACTAGGACCATGAGCCATCACCAGGGCATCCACAGCAACTGGATGAAAATCACTGTCTCCCTTCCCTCCCCTACCCCCTCTCTCCCCTTTTTTTCTCCTGAACTCCCCTGTGTGTGTGCTAAGTCATTGCTGCCTGCCCACCTTCCACTCATTAACTTCCCCTCCAACAGGGTGGCAACATGCCTGCTGCTGTTCCTCGCATCAACTTACTGAGACTAGCTTATATGCGGGTCACGAGACACGGTCAGCCAACCAAAGCAGGTGGTCGTGAGTGGGTCAGGCGTTAGGCAGTCAGGAGTAGGCAGGTACAGAACGGCGTAACCAAAGACCATTCCACGTTACAAGCTGTGTTCTGAATATCGTTGAGTGTGTTCAAGTCCTCTAGATTCACATTGGATCGCACAGGTACTTGAATATATCAAGGAGAGTTACCGATAATATCAAACGTAACGCAATGTTCCTTTTAACACTGTATCCTATACTGCAACCGCCATTGTGCAGGAAAGTGGTTGCTGCTACCATGTGCCTTCCATTCGCGCTGACTGGCGCGTTGGATCCCGTCGCATATTTTCAACTATAGGCTGGTATGGTATATACATATCGAACCTCAAGAATTGGTCTGGCCAGTTCCAAACTTCAGCAACTACCCAATCAGGCATCGCGTGGCGAGTTTCCCAGGCAAACCCAAGCATAGCCCAGAGCGGCTTTGACTCGCGTCTACGTCCCAAACCAGACCCCTCGTGTTGACTATTTTATAAAAAGCCATTGACTCTCCCACCATTTCACTCACCAACAGCTTCCATTTTATTCTCCACTTTCTTCACCCAAGCTTACTTTCCTAGTCAGTGCAACCCGCACACCAGGAAAACTTTCACCACTTCGTAGATCACAGCTCGATACAGATCCAGTCATGGCCGCACTCAGAGCGCTCGTCCTCGCGTGCGCGCTCCTCCTCGTGTCGACGTCCGCCTTGGCGCAGCGTGGTCCGCCTGGCGGAGGTCCTCCCGGCGGTCAGCGCGGAGGCCCTGGCGCCGGTTCCGGCGGACCCGGCGGTCCCGGGGGTCCAGACGGAAAGCCGCCGCACGGTCCTCCGTTGAACCTGACGGCCGTCGGGAATCTGACGGCCAATATCGGCGCGCGACTCGCCAACTGCACAGTGGATCAGAAAACCCTTAACGGCAGCTTCCACCTCGCCGTCTTCAAGAACGCCACCGGCAATTACAACCTGCTGGTCGAAGCTCTCCTTGTCGACGCGGCGGGCGGTCCGCCCGACTCTCTGGCGATCGTGAAGGGCGCCGTGTGCGACGCCGCCGCGACGGACGTGCTCGCGCTGCCGCTCGCCGCGGCGGACTGGCAGCAGCGCGCGGGGTGGTGGCTGCTGCACGCGGAGGCGCGCCTCGACGCGTTCCTCGAGAACGCGGACGCCGCCACCCTCGACGCGCTGCTCGCCGTGCTCCCCACCGCCTCGCCTCCGCCCACCAGCGGCGGCGGGCGCAACGGCGGAGGCAGCGCCGGCGGGGGCAGCGCGGGGGGCTCGCGGAACGGGCAGGGCGGGAGGCGCATGGGACGGGAGCTGCTGATGGGCGCATTCGGGCGCGCTGCCAGGCAGGGGGGACAGAAGCAGGGGGGACAGAAGCAGGGGGGGCAGAAGCAGGGGGGAGCGCAGCAGGCACCTGCAGTGAGCGGGTATGCTGTGCTGGCGGGCAGCAGCGCAGCAGGTGTGACGTGGGGCGGGCAGCTCATGGGCGCCAAGACGCCCGCCGCTGCTGCCGCTGGTGGTGCTTAATGCACCATGTCACTGTGGGTCTTGTCAGTGGGGGGCAAGATGCCTGCCGCTACTGCCGTGCTGCTCTGGCTGCTCCTGCCTCTGCCGTTGGTGCTGCTTGAACTCATCCTGATATAGGCTTTCATTGCTGCTTGATGGATCACTGCCCTGAGGATGGCTGTGGCGTCGGCTTGGTGTTTTCATGGTGAACAAGCACCTGCAGGGTGTCATGGGCTTCAGGCTTCTCATGGATGTGTGTGTGTCTGGATACGGTAGCTTTGGTTGGACTCTCGGGGAGTAGCTAAAATAGGTGAAAGCATCAGGGGCAGGAATGTTGGCAAGGCAACAGGGAACACCAGCTGACTTGCCAGACTTCCTACCCCTGATTGTTTCTATGGGGTTATTTGTAGTGTCAAGTCAGCGTTTGTATTCAGACTTGGTTTGGGAAGCAGATGTATTCGACATATAGGTAGGGTAACAAATTTCTCAAGCTGAGAACTGCACTCAGAATAATGAATAAGAAGGAAAACACAAATGACTATCTGTACAGTGTATAGCACCTTGCTACCCACTGGGTCAAAACGAGGGTGTTACACAGTGGGATGTGGTACTGCTGTACCGCATTGGCCGCAGTGACGACGCTTTTAGGTCGCGTCGCGTTTCAAACCTGGAACTAACTTCGAGAAGCTCGGATTCTCTGACTTCGAATGCGCCGTTTTTCCGCACCCGAGCTTTCCGTTTTCGTCTCACTTGCCGTCAGCTGCAGGCCTCGTTCAGAAAGGCATGCAGCATTCTCGGGATAGAACCTAGTGCTCGTCACTAGCAAAATCCGATAGTAGGAGTAATTAGGTCACGATTTCGCGATTCCAGCAATGGCGATTATACGTTTCTAGGTACCGCCAGTTTCGTGTGCTTGACCCTAGGCCGCCATGACTTACTCATTTATTCAATCAGCGCATAGCGGGGAAATCGTCGTTAAAAAAGTGCTGCGGCTGATGGCGCCAGTGTGATTCAAGCGGGGAGCGCGAATGCCGCGGGTGGGGGAAACGGAAATGAATGAGGAGGGGAAACGGTTATTGGCGGAGAGATGGCAGGCGGCGGAGGATTCCGCGCGAAAGACTGGCGGAGGAGTTGAAGGAGGCGACGTATGTAGCGGCGACGGAACAGTATCGTGGATGTACAGCGGTGACTCGTCGGGCCGAGAGACGGATGCCCTTTTGGAGAAAGGATCCTTTAACGGGACGGGCAATAACGAGTACGGGGAGGGGCAGGACGTTGTAACGGGGGGAAGAAGCACTGTGCGGATAAGGGAGGGGATGCCGCCAGCAGTGGGCGCAGAGAAGGGCGTGCCACGTGGCGTGGTGATATTGGTGGTCGTGTTCCTGGACCTGTTTGCAGTTGGCATGGCCATGCCGCTTGTTACGCCGCTAATCAAGGAGCTAGGTAAGCTAATAAAAATCTATTCATTGGCCTCTAGAATTTGCAATAGAAGATGGTACCATTGCCGCCAACATTCCAACTTTGCTCTTCTTTTGCATCTACTTCTCCTCCTGTCCCTCCGCCCACCCCTCCCGCTGTCCCCCGCCCCTCTCCCCTGCTCCCTGCTCGTCCCGTGCCTGGTATACTGCCGCTGGACTCTCTGTCCGCGTTAGGAGCGTCCCCTTTACAAGTTGGCTTCCTCTCGTCCACATATGGAGCTGTGCAACTCGTTACTGGCCCATTCTTTGTAAGCAAACCTCGCGTCCCCTTTCTTGCTCTCCGCTCATGCTGAACAGTGAACCATTTCTCATCTCAGCATTCCACGTTGTGCTGGCCTCGACATGAGGTGCTTGCTGTTGGTGGCTTGAGCTGTGTGTGACCTACTCTAAACTGATACCTATAGCTCTCTTTCCCTCGCTCTCTGTCTCTTACCATCTGCGCGTGCCCCCTCAAGGCCTGGTGTGTGACAACATAGGGAGGAGGGTTGTGGTTCTGGTGTCGCTGGCGCCGGGGCCAGCTCCTTGTTTTCAACTACACCTGTTGCCCTCCTTCTTCCTTTGCTCCATCTCCGCGTCTCCTCTCAGGGTCTGCTGAGTGACAGCATGGGGAGGCGGGTTGTGATTCTGGTGGAGTATGCTGGCGCAGGGGCGAGTTACTTGCTTCTAACGAACTCCTGTTGCCCTCTTCCCTCGCTCGCCACATGTCCGCTCTCTCAGGGTCTGTTGAGTGACAGCATGGGGGCAGGCGAGCGGTAACTTTGGAGTCAACTCAAAACATCACCTGTTGCCTTCTTCCCTTTGCTCCCTCTCTCATTGTCCTCTCCACGTGTCCCCGCAGGGTCTGCTGAGTGACAGCATGGGGAGGCGGGTTGTGATTATGGTGTCGTATGCTGGCGCAGGGGCGAGCTACCTGCTGCTGGGGCAGAGCAGCACTGTAACGGTAAGAGAAGGGGGGTGAGGGGCGGGGGATGGGCGGAAACTGGAAAGATGGGGGCCAGCTACCTGGTGCCAGGGCAGAGCAGCAGTGCTACGGTGAGAAGAGTTATGGGGCGGGGGATGAAGGGGGCGGGGGATGAAGGGGGGAAGGGTATGGGGGGGGGACAGCTATCTGCTGCTAGGGAAGAGCAGCACTGTAACGGTGGTGAGAGACACGTGACGCAACACATGACGAGTTTGAAGTGAATGGAACCAATTGTTCCTGGAAATTGAAAATCTCTTCGGCTCGCGCAAGTGAAAATATATTCGGCTCGTATTCTTGCACTGATTCACTGTGCAACTATGTGTTTCTTTCAGTGTCGAGGCCGTTGCAGACACTGTTTGGCGTGACGATCTGACCTATTTTGAAACTCCCTTGATTCTCCTTTCAGCCTCCTTAAAGCGCTCCCTATACCACCCTTAACCTCCCTTGCACCTCATGTGGATATATCTCTCTAAACCTGTCTTACATCCTCTGGAGCTTCTCCTTTAATCCACGCGCGCATCCCTTCAGATGGTGGTGATCTCCCGAGTGCTACTAGGCATCACCAAGCACAGCATGAATGCAGTCAAGGCGTATGTGGCGGATCACACCACAGCCAGTAACAGAGCCGTGGAGCTGGGCAGGTGAGACGCAGGTGGGGCTTGGAGCTGGGCGGGTGGGGCTTGGAGCTGGACGGGTGGGGCGCTGTTTGGTTGGGTGATGGCAGGTGAGGCGCGTGGCACAGCATGAATGCAGTCAAGGCGTATGTGGCGGATCACACCACAGCCACCAACAGAGCCGTGGAGCTGGGCAGGTGAGCGGCCTGCTTGCTTGGGTCATGCCGTGCCGTACCGTGCCATGCCATGCCATGCCGCGCCCTGCCATCTCCTCCTGCCATCTCATGGGCAGGGGCACAGCATGGCCCCTGCATCCGGGCATGGGGCAGGGGCAGGGACAGAAGCAGGGACAGAGGCAGGGTCAAGGGGATGAGCAGGGGCATGGGCAAGGGCAGGGGCATGGGCGGGGGCATTCACGCAGCTGCTGCCTCTCCACCACCCCTGCTATCTTCCCCCCTTTCGCTCAATCCTTTCTGCCTCGCCACCATTGCTGCCTCGCCACCGTTGCTGCCTCGCCACCATTGCTGCCTCGCCACCGTTGCTGCCTCGCCACCGTTGCTGCCTCGCCACCGTTCTCTCACTCCACTCCACCATAACAGGATGGCAGTAGCATCAGCTTTGGGCATCATGGCCGGCACTGCTGTTGTGCCTCCCCCTTCCTGTGCAAGTGCTCGTTCCTGCATGCCTCTCCACATCCCAATTCACTCCACCTGAACAGGATGGCAGCAGCATGAGCTTTGGGCATCATGGCCAGCAGGAATGAGCACTGCTGCGCCTCCCTGCATGTGCCTTCTTGTGCAAGTGCTCATTCCTGCCTGCCTTCCCACATTTCGAATCACTCCACCTTAACAGGATGGCAGCAGCATGAGCTTTGGGCATCATGGCCAGCAGGAATGAGCACTGCTACGCCTCCCTGCATGTGCCTTCTTGTGCAAGTGCTCATTCCTGCCTGCCTCCCCACATTTCGAATCACTCCACCTTAACAGGATGGCAGCAGCATGAGCTTTGGGCATCATGGCCGGCACTGCTGTGCCTCCCCCTTCCTGTGCAAGTGCTCATTCCTGCATGCCTCTCCACATTCCAAATCGCTCCCACAGGATGGCAACAGCATCGGCTCTGGGCATCATGGTCGGCCCTGCAGTGGGTGGCATGCTATTTAAAGTAGGTCTTGCTAAAATAAGCTGTTGCTCAATGTTCATGACAACCCTTTCCTGTGCTTTTCGAGATGACTTGTGGGTTGACTCAGAATTCACCTTCCACAATGAGGTGGGCGTGGACTTTCAGAGAGGCTTTCAGAGGGATCATAACTTGCTGCTCCCCTGAGTTTTGAGACAGTCTCAAAAACCTAGAGGGAGCAGCATGGCTTGCTTGCTGCCCCTCTGTATCACTTCTCACTGTCTGCTTTTGCAATTCCTATGCATCCTCTTCGGTTTCCTCAACTCTTTTCCGAAGGACACCAGTGATTAACTTGAGGGGGAATGAACGAAACATAAGGCCTCTTCTCTCTTTCTGCTTCTTTTTTTGCCTCTTCCTCTCCCATCCCTTTCCCCCCTTTCCTTCTCCCTCCCGCCTTCGCCTTTCTCCCACCCTCAACCCTCCCCTTCCTCGCATCTTCTTGCTCCTCCCGCCCAGGCAGGCAGTTATCCCCTCCCAACAGCAGCCCTTCTTTACGCTAAAAACTCATTCATTACAGTTACGCGGCTACATCCAACACCATTCTCCATTCCCCCACCCCCTTCCCTCTATTCTACCCCCTCTTCCCACACAGGCAGGCAGTTATCCCCTCCCAACAGCAGCAGCAGCGCTTCTCTACGCTATAAACTCCTTCATTACTGTCACACAGCTGGAAGCACAGCATAAACCCTCTGCCGAATCTACATCACATGGCCATAAGAGAACACGGGTTCTCTCACTGCAAGGTCTCCTACCCAATGTAAGACACTCTTTCTGAGTCGACTCAATAATGGACTTCCTTTCCCCCCACATTTGTTTCCTCCGCTTGTTCTCTCCCCCCGTTCCTCTTCTCCCATCTCTTACCTCCTGTTTCTTTCCTACCCTTCCTCTCCTCCACTATTCTCCTCTCACTTATCTCCTCTCTTCACTATCCTTCTCCTCGCATTGCTCTCCTCCCTTCACTATCCTTCTCTTCTCATTGCTCTCCTCCCTTCACTATCCTTCTCTTCTCATTGCTCTCCTCCCTTCACTATCCCGCCAGTGCTGGGACTGGCGGTGCATCTGTTCAAATGTGCTGACACCCATCATTCTTCCCCTTGTCCCTCCCTCTTCCTCCCTTCCTCCCTTACTCCCTCCCATCCTCCCTCTTTCTCCCTCCCACAGGTGGCCATATTGACTCGACCCCGAGTGGCAGCACTGATGGCATTGCGGGCAGTGCTGGGACTGGCGGTGCATCATTTCAAATGATCTGGCACACTTCGTCCCCCCCATCCCATCCTTCCTTCCTTCGTCCTTTCCTCCCAGGTGGCCATACTGACTCGCCCCCGAGTGGCAGCACTGATGGCAGTGCGGGCAGTGCTGGGGCTGGCAGTGCACCTTTTTCGTCAGGGCTTCTCACTGCTCCTCATCTACCGCCTCAACCTGCCCGTGCACACCAACGGGCTGCTGCTCTCATTGCAGGTGAGCGGTGGTGAGCGGTGATGAGTCGTGGCGAGTGGTGGTGAGGCAAATGGAGGTTCTTTTGAGGGGCTGGCAGTACATCTATCTCTTCCGGCAGGGCTTCTCACTGCTCCTCATCTACCGCCTCAACCTGCCCGTGCACACCAACGGGCTGCTGCTCTCCCTGCAGGTAGGGGTTGGTGGGTGATGGTGAGTGGTGGTGAGTGGTGATAAGTGGTGGTGAGTGGCGAATGGTGGCCCTGATATGGGGCTGGGGCTGGCAGTGCATCTGTTCCGCCAGGGCTTCTCACTGCTCCTCATCTACCGCCTCAACCTCCCCGTGCACACCAACGGGCTGCTGCTCTCGCTGCAGGTGAGCGGTGGTGAGTGGTGGTGAGTGGTAATGAGTGGTGGTGAGTGGTGGTGAATTGTGGTTCTTCTGTGGGGCTGGCAGTGCACCTTTTTCGTCAGGGCTTCTCGCTGCTCCTCATCTACCGCCTCAACCTGCCAGTCCACACCAACGGGCTGCTGCTTTCATTGCATGTGAGCAGTGGTGAGTGGTGGTGAGTGGTGATGAGTGGTGGTGAGTGGCAAACGGTGGTTCCTGGCAGGGCTTCTCGCTGCTCCTCATCTACCGCCTCAACCTCCCAGTCCACACCAACGGGCTGCTGCTTTCATTGCAGGTGAGCAGTGGTGAGTGGTGATGAGTGGTGAAAAAAGGTGATGAGTGATGAGTGGAGGCAGATGGAGGTTCTTTTGAGGGGCTGGCAGTACATCTATCTCTTCCGGCAGGGCTTCTCGCTGCTCCTCATCTACCGCCTCAACCTGCCCGTGCACACCAACGGGCTGTGAGTGGTGCATGCTGGTGTGTTGAGTGGTGATGTCGGGTTGGGAGTGGCTAATGGTTAGTATTTTGTACCCACCTCTCTTCCCTCTTCACATCCCACATCAATTCATGTGTCCCCCTCTTTTCACATGTCCCTCTCTCAGGGTCTCCTCACGTCGCTCGTGCAGGGCCTCGCCATCCGTCCCTTGCTGCACTGATCTCCAGAGCCCCTCATTTCAGCCTGTCAAATCTGATTCCATGTCCCTCTCTTTCTATGCCCACCTAACAGGGTCTCCTCACATCGCTGGTACAGGGCCTGGCCATCCTCCCTTTGCTGCACCGCTTCCTGTGGGCCTTCATCCAGCCAATCTCATCCGCCCTTCCTTCTCTTCACCGTCCCCACCTCCATGCTCATATCCCCACCTCTCAGGGTCTCCTCACATCGCTCGTGCAGGGCCTCGCCATCCGCCCCTTACTGCGCCGCTTCCCAGAGGCGCCTCTCATCTTCCGCGGCCTGCTGCTGCTCTCCCTCACCCTCGCCCTGCTCGCTGCTGCCCCCAGCCTTGTAAGCCGTTCCCCCTTGTGCCATGCTGTCTGCCCCCACCTCATCTTCTGTCAACCGTCCTTCACCTGCTGCTGCTCTCCCTCACCCTCGCCCTGCTCGCTGCTGCCCCCAGCCTTGTAAGCCGTTCCCCCGTGTGCCATGTTGTCTGCCCCCACCTCATCTTCTGTCAACCGTCCTTCACCTGCTGCTGCTCTCCCTCACCCTCGCCCTGCTCGCTGCTGCCCCCAGCCTTGTAAGCCGTTCCCCCGTGTGCCATGTTGTCTGCCCCCACCTCATCTTCTGTCAACCGTCCTTCACCTGCTGCTGCTCTCCCTCACCCTCGCCCTGCTCGCTGCTGCCCCCAGCCTTGTAAGCCGTTCCCCCTTGTGCCATGCTGTCTGCCCCCACCTCATCTTCTGTCAACCGTCCTTCACCTGCTGCTGCTCTCCCTCACCCTCGCTCTGCTCGCTGCTGCCCCCAGCCTTGTAAGCCGTTCCCCCTTGTGCCATGCTGTCTGCCCCCACCTCATCTTCTGTCAACCGTCCTTCACCTGCTGCTGCTCTCACTCACCCTCGCCCTGCTCGCTGCTGCCCCCAGCCTTGTAAGCCGTTCCCCCGTGTGCCATGTTGTCTGCCCCCACCTCATCTTCTGTCAACCGTCCTTCACCTGCTGCTGCTCTCACTCACCCTCGCCCTGCTCGCTGCTGCCCCCAGCCTTGTAAGCCGTTCCCCCGTGTGCCATGTTGTCTGCCCCCACCTCATCTTCTGTCAACCGTCCTTCACCTGCTGCTGCTCTCACTCACCCTCGCTCTGCTCGCTGCTGCCCCCAGCCTCGTAAGCCGTTCCCCCGTGTGCCATGCTGTCTGTCTCCGCCCCATCTTCTGTCAACTTTCCTTCACCCTCGCTCTGCTCGCTGCTGCTCCCAGCCTTGTAAGCACCTCTTGTCCCAGCCTTGTAAGCACCTCTTGTCCCAGCCTTGTAAGCACCTCTTGTCCCAGCCTCGTAGCATTCCTCCCTGTACCATGCTCTCTGCCTCTGCCTCTTATACTGCCTCACCCTCACCCCGCTTGCTGCTGCTCCCAGCCTTGTAAGCACTTGTTGTCCCAGCCTCATGGCGTTCCTCCCTGTACCATGCTCTCTGCCTCTGCCTCTCCCTTTGCCTCTTCTTCTTGCTCTCCTTCACCCATTGCTGCTTCTCCCAGCCTCGTAGATCCTCCCTTCTTGTGGCATGCTCACTCCTTCTGCCTCTTCTTCTGCCTCTCCTTTAATTCATACTACTTTTCATCCCGCTACCTCTCACTTCTTGCTCTGCAAAAGCCCTCTTGCTTCTGTTATTCTGCCATTTTTTGTGTTTTCGTTCCCTTTTTTTTATGTACCACATACACAGCCCTCCTCACAACATCTGTCGCTCAGAGTGAGGTAAGCCTTTTGAGGCACCTCAAAAATCCTCTCAACCGGTGTTCTCCGCACCACATACACAGCCCTCCTCACAACCTCTGTCGCTCGGAGTGAGGTAAGCCTCCTCCCCTCGTCCCCTCTTGCTCACGCTGTGTGAGACAGGAAAGGAAACTAGGCCGGTTTAACTGTCAGGTGCTGGTCGCCACTCGAGATGTCAGGCACCATGCGCTCTCTTCTCCCGTCTCTCTTCTCCCGTCTCTCTTCTCCCGTCTCTCTTCTCCCGTCTCTCTTCTCCCGTCTCTCTTCTCCCGTCTCTCTTCTCCACGTCTCTCTTCTCCACGTCTCTACAACCATCACTTGTTGCGAAGCCAAGCGATGTATCAGGCAAGGCTCGACAGTCCACTTCTCTCTCGAGTGCTCGGCCCCTCATCATGTCCGCCCGACAAATGCACCGACCCTCTTCGAGCTGGTTTTTGAGAATTCTCAAAAACCAGCTCATGTCCGCCAGACAAATGCACTGACCCTCTTCGACACCACACTGCATGCCATGCTCTCTTCCCCCCTCTCCCTCTTCCCTTTCCTTCCCCTGCCCCACCCAACAACCAGGTGGGTCGGCTGCTGGGCCTATCAGACGCCATCATGTCGGCCTGCCGAGTGCTCATTGGCTGATAACCAAACGGTGCATGTTGCTCGTACTCAGCATCCCTCTATCTCCTCTACACTCACTCACCTCCCTACCAGGTGGGTCAGCTGCTGGGTTTATCAGACGCCATCATGTCGGCCTGTCGGGTGCTCGGTCCCTCTGCATCCCTATGCTACTTGCTCTCACTCAGCCGCCCTATGCCCTGCCCTCTACCATCCGATCCCCTCACCACAGGTGGGACAGCTGCTGGGCTTATCAGACGCCATCATGTCGGCCTGTCGGGTGCTCGGTCCCTCTGCTGCCGGCCTCCTCTCCTCCCAATTCGGCTACCACGCCCCTGTTGCTGTCAGGTAAGCCCACTAACATGCTTATCAGGCCCTTGTGAGGCGCCTCAAAAGTCTTCTGCCGGCCTCCTCTCATCCCAATTCGGCTACCACACCCCTGTTGCTGTCAGGTAAGCCCACTAACATGCTTATCAGGCCCTTGTGAGGCGCCTCAAAAGTCTTCTGCCGGCCTCCTCTCATCCCAATTCGGCTACCACGCCCCTGTCGCTGTCAGGTAGGCCAGCTAACATGCTTCTTCAGGTGACTTTTGAGTCGACTCAAACGTCGTGTTTTGAGGCGCCTCACAACAAGACCGAAAAGTCGGCCTCCTCTCGTCCCAATTCGGCTACCACGCCCCTGTTGCTGTCAGGTAAGCCCGCTAACGTGCTCCTTCAGGTGACTTTGGAGTCGAATCAAAAGTCGGCCTCCTCTCATCCCAGTTCAGCTACCACGCGCCGGTTGCTGTCAGGTAAGCCCGATGGCATGCTGATTCACTAGACCTTTTACACCCCTGCCGCTGTCCTGAAACCCGGTGGTGTACCATTCTGCTTTGAAAGCGGTGGACTACTTGTGCCCTTAGAACACATGATGTTGTTTTACGCATGAGTGTTACGCATGACACCAGTGCCTTGCATGCTTGTGACCTATCTGCATGGTTATCTGCATCACCCACAGGCTTTAGCGTCACGCCGGTGTGTGAAATGAATGTGGCATTGGTGCTATGCCATGTGTGTAGTTGTCTACATGTGCTGCACTCTGTGTGTCTACATGTGCTACGCTCTGTGTGTCTACATGTGCTGCACTCTGTGTGTCTACATGTGCTACGCTCTGTGTGTCTACATGTGCTGCACTCTGTGTGTCTACATGTGCTACACTCTGTGTGTCTACATGTGCTGCACTCTATGTTCACTTCACCTTGAATCCCTTGTTGCCCTCCTTTGTCCCTCCGCTCTTCCCTCCATGTGCTCCTTGGCAGCTCTATCACTGCTGCCACTGCAGCTCACATCAATTCCGGAGGTGATTTTCCAGGCGCCTCTAAAATCACCTCCGTTGGCTTCTTGGGAGCTCCATCACTGCTGCCACTGCAGCTCACATTGATTCCTGTCCTGTGCGTGCCTCACACTTTGCCCTTTGCTTCCCTTCCCTCCATATTCTCCTCCCTGCCAGTGCAATCGCTGCTGCCACTGCAGCTCTCCTCTCTTCCACCTGCTAGTGCTGCGAATTCTTTCAACCTTGCCACCTCTGTCCCTCCCCCCTTCCCTCCATCTCCTCCCTGCCAGCGCTGTCATTGCAGCCACTGCAGCTCTCCTCTTCCACCTGCTAGTGCTGCGCCGCCACCACCCTGCCTCTGCTGCCAATCCTTTGCTCCTTCCCCACCTCTGTTCCACCTCCCTTTCCCTTTCTTCCCTCCATCTCCTCCCTGCCAGCGCTGTCATTGCAGCCAATGCAGCTCTCCTCTTCCACCTGCTAGTGCTGCGCCGCCACCACCCTGCCTCTGCTGCCACAGGAATTTTGTCTAAAGGGCATTTGGCCTGACTGCCTCAGCCACTCCTTGGCAGCGCTAGCTACTGTCGCTGCCAGCCAGTACAGTGCAGCTCTCCGCTTCACATGCAACATGCCTCTGCTGCCACAGGAATCTTGTCCAAACGACATTTGGCTTGATTGTAGGAGGTGATTTGTAATATGGTATATACGGTAGTCCTTCCTTGGTGATTCATTTGCCTAAAGTGTTGCTTGACAACTATTCAACTCATACGGTACCCTACTTCAGGTAAGGCTGTTGCAACTTGCAACAAAACATGTCTTGCACAAGGGGAAACAGATGATATATGCATTAATTTTGAAAATACCGTAACACACAGGAACATGAATAACACAGATCAAAACGAATAACCTCAAAAAGAACAATCAGGGGTAGGAAGACTGGCAAGTCAGTTGGTGTCCCCTGATGCCTTGCCAGCATTCCTGCCGCTGATGCTTTCACCTATTAGAGAGCTACTCGAGCATGAACCAGAGAAAAACCCAGAGCAAGCCCGGAGCAAACCCGGAGCAAACCCGGAGCGAACCCGGAGCAAGCCTATCCAGCCACCTACATCTAAGAAGCCCTCAAGGCTCCAACCCATCAATGCAAAGGCGTGCATGACTACAGCGTGTAACAGTCTGGGCTCCATCGCCCAAAGCCGGCAGTAGCAGCACCAGCAATGGTTGTCAAACCATCTGCTGGATAAAGCAGCAGCAGCAGGACAGTGGCGCATTAAACAGCAGCAGCGGGCATCTTGGCGCCCATGAGCTGCCCGCCCCACGTCACACCTGCTGCGCTGCTGCCCGCCAGCACAGCATACCCGCTCACTGCAGGCGCCTGCTGCGCTCCCCCCTGCTGCTGCTGCCCCCCCTGCTGCTGCCCCCCCTGCTTCTGCCCCCCCTGCTTCTGTCCCCCTTGCCTGGCCGCGAGGCCGAATGCGCGCGTCAGCAGCTCCCGCCCCATGCGCCTCCCGCCCTGCCCATTCCGCGCGCCCCCCGCGCTGCCGCCGTTGGCGCTGCCTCCTCCGTTGCGCCTGCCACCGCTGGTGGGCGGAGGCGAGGCGGTGGGGAGCACGGCGAGCAGCGCGTCGAGGGTGGCGGCTTCCACGTTCTCGAGGAACGCGTCGAGGCGCGCCTCCGCGTGCAGCAGCCACCACCCCGCGCGCTGCTGCCAGTCCGCCGCGGCGAGCGGCAGCGCGAGCACGTCCGTCACGGCGGCGTCGCACACGGCGCCCTTCACGATCGCCAGCGAGTCGGGCGGGCCGCCCGCCGCGTCCACCAGCATTGCCTCGACCAGAAGATTGTAGTTCCCGGTAGAGTTCTTGAAGATGGCGAGGTGGAAGCTGCCGTTGAGGGTCTTCTGATCCACGGTGCAGTTGGCGAGCTGCGCGCCGATATCGGCCGTCAGATTCCCGACGGCGGTGAGGTTCAGCGGAGGACCGCGCGGTCCGCCAGGCCCGCCGGGACCATCGCGACCGCCAGGACCGCCGGGACCGCCGGGTCCGCCGGAACCGGCGCCAGGGCCTCCGCGCTGACCGCCGGAAGGACCTCCGCCAGGCGGACCACGCTGCGCCAAGGCGGACGTCGACACGAGGAGGAGCGCGCACGCGAGGACGAGCGCTCTGACTGCGGCCATGACTAGATCTGTATCGAGCTGCGATCTACCAAGTGGCGAAAGTGGAAGCGTGAGTGACTAGAAAGCTTGAGTGAATGGGTCGCACTGACTAGGAAGCTTGGGTGAAGAAAGTGGAGCGTGAAATGGAAGCTATTGGTGAGTGAACTGGTAAGAGAGTCAATGACTACTTATAGGGTAGTCAAACCAAGGAGTAGACGCGAGTCAAAGCCGCTGAGGTCCAACGTTGAGGCTTGTGTCTCCAAGCAATCTGTGAGGTTCGGAAATATCAGACCAACTGTGGAGGTTCGAGGTGTGCGATTTGCCAACTAAGAGTTGAAAATGTGCGACGGGATTCAAACGCGTGAGTCAGCGCAAATGGAAGGCAAATCACACGAAGGAATGGAAAAACGCGTCAGTCAGCGCAAAAGAGCAACTTTCTTCATTTGGAAGAAGTTCCTTGTGGGGTTGAATCTGCATTTGGAAAATTTGTTGAACACCTGAGACGCTCCAAAATGCAGCCAGTAACGAGGGGATTTTTTTCCTGCTCTGTTATGTACCTGCCTACCGAGTGCCTCACTACCACCTGTTTTCGTTGACTGGCTGCTTGCGACCCGCATATCACTTCGTATTGGTATGTTGATAGAGAGGAACAGAAGCAGACATGCGAGCAATAATCCAACAGCTCAATCAGTCTTGCCACCCTGTTGGAGCAAAGTTGATGAATGGAAGGTGGGGAGGCAACAAGAACTACCGTAGTGCACGCACAGTTGAAGGCGGAGGGTGGAGGGGTTGTGGGGAAAAGATGAGGAGGGAGGCGAGAGAGAAGGGGGGATGAAGACGGGGGGAGAGGGGTGGGTGGCACAGGGCTCATGTGATATTCATCCTCTAGCTATGGAAGTTCTGATGAGAGCTCATGATATTTCTATCCCATAGTAGTAATATGGAAAGCATGGTGAGATATACAGGAAGAATGCTCAAGGGAAGGGGAAAGCGAATCAGTGAAGGAGGGGAACGGTGAGGGTTGGGGCCAATGGTATGTGATATGTATTAACACGTAACAGATGGCTGAATGATTGCCATCTGAGTCCACTCAAACACTTGCATCGCAGTGGCTCTGCGTATGCCCTTTGAGCCGACCTTACAACTTGATGACCTGCTGTACCCCTGCCTATGCGCATGGCCATGCCCATTCCCATGCCCATGCCCATGCCTATGCCCATGCCTATGCCCATGCCCATGCCCATGCCCACCCCTACTCCCATGCCACGCCTATGCCCATGCCCATGCCCATGCCCACCCCTACTCCCATGCCACGCCTATGCCCATGCCCATGCCCATGCCCATGTCCATGCGCCCATGCCCATGCCGATGCCCACGCCCATGGGATGACCACGATCTGAAGAGAGAGAAGGGAAGGCAAGGAGTTTCAAGAAAAAGTTGTGAGGGAAGTTGTCAGGGATTTAAAGTAGAAGGTTTCAAGGAGTTTTTGAAGTGCTTTGCTGAAGGTTTGAAGCGGTTTTGAAGAGGTTAAGTGAAGGCTCGAAGAAGTCTGAATTCATCACATCAAACAACATCTATCTAAACCACCCCGATTGACTCATAAATGCAAGAACGAGTCGTGAAGGGAAAGAATGTAAAACCAGCTGAGCAGGGTCACGAGTCGAGCAAAATCTAATATGTGAGGGAGTGGGTGGGTGCATGAAGAAAGAGGCCATGTGTGTATGTCAGCAAGTAAGGCGTGCATACAAAAACGATAATAGAAAAATCCGTTTTGCTTTGAAAGCAGGTTAGGAGGAACTGATTCCACTATTTTCCTACAAGTCACGTGCTTGCTGCCTCATCCTTAGCTCACCATTACACTGGTGTTCCCTAGCAGCAAGCCGCTCGTTCCTTCCTGCCATCCGTCTCTCACAGCAGCAACATTGTGCTCTGCCATAGCAGCAGCTGGAAGGTTTCAAGCAGGTTAGCAGAAAACCACAAGGAAGATCAAATGAGGGTTCGATGGAGGCAAAACACCAAGTGCCCTGCTCCACCTCCATTCAACGGGGGCTGAATTGTCTGTTTCACGCCAAGTGAAACAGCACCAACAATTTCACGAGCCGAATCGACTCATGAGTGCATGCATCAAGAGTGAGGCATGCACACAGCAACGAGAGATGAAAATACGTTCTGCCGTAAGTCAACTCAGGAGCAATTGGTTGCTGTTACTACTTACAGGTGCATCACGTTTCTCTCACCGTTATACTGGTGCGCTGCCCTAGACATGAGCACAGGGCGAAAAGAAAAGCTTCGAGCAGCAGGCAACTCTCTCACTCACAACCCCCACGTCTCCTGACACTTCACCTGTGCTCTGCCCCCTCCTCCTCCCCGTCGCCATGCCCCTCGCCATCCCCCTCCCCCTCCCCCTCCCCCAACCCCTCCCCCTCCCCCTCCCCCTACCCCTCTCCCTTCCCCCCAACCCCTCCCCTCTCTTTCCCTTCTCCCTGCTTTCCCCGTGAGACAAAGAATGGCCCGGTAACGAGTTGCACAGCTCTCTATGTGGACGAGAGGAAGCCGGCCTGTAAAGGGGACTGACGCGGACAGAGGGCTCAAACGCAGCACACCAGGTACGAGGGGGGGGGGGGGAGGGGGTGGGCAGCGGGAAGGGCAAAGGTGCAGGGGTAGGGGGAAGGGGGGGGAAAAGGCAGGGGGAAGGAACAAGGTGGGGGGCCGAGGGGAGGGGAAGGGGGGAGGAACATGGGAAAGGGGCAGGGGGGAGGGGAAGGGGAAGGGGAAGGTGGAGAGGCAAGGGAAGGGGCAGGGGGCGAGGTAGAGGGAAGGGACAGTAAATGCAAAGCAGAGCAATAGTACCTTCCTCAATTCTCGCCAACGGTTCTCTCCTAGCAGTAAACATCCATGGTAGTTTGTGACAACAGCGGAACTCAAATCTTTACAATATTGGCGGACCTAGCTCCATGATAGATTCCATGATACATAGTTTCATGATGTAAGCTCACCTAGCTCTACAATCAGCGGCGTGACGAGCGGCATGGCCATGCCAACTGCAAACAGGTCCAGGAACACGACGACCAATATCACCACGCCATGTGGCACGCCCTTCTCTGCGCCCACTGCTGGCGGCATCCCCTCCCTTATCCGCACAATGCTTCTTCCCCCCGTTACAACGTCCTGCCCCCCATACTCGTTATTGCCCGTCCCTTTATAGGCGCCTTTCTCCAAAAGGGCATCCATCTCTCGGCCCGTCGAGTCACCGTTGTACATCCGCGATACTGTTCCGTCGCCGCTACATACGTCGCCTCCTTCAACTCCTCCGCCAGTCTTTCGCGCGGAATCCTCCGCCGCCCGCCATCTCTCCACCAATAACCGCTCCCCCTCCTAATTCATTTCCGCTTCTCCAACCCGCGGCATTCGCGCTCCCCGCTTGAATCACACTGGCGCCATCCGCTATACGCTGATGGATAAATGAGTAAGCCATGGAGGGCCGAGGCCAAGCACACGAATCTGGCGGTACCTATAAATTTCTCCATGGCTGGAATCGCAAAATCGAGACCTTATTTCTCCTACTATCGGATACCTAGTGACGACCTGAGCACTAGGTTCTATCCCGTGAATGCTGCATGCCTTCTGAACGAGGCCTGAAACTGACGTCGAGTGAGACGAAAACGTAAAGCTCGGGTGCGAAAAAACGGCGCATTCGAAGTCAGAGAATGCGAGCTTTTCGAAGTTATTTCCAGGATTGAAGCGCGACGCGACCTAAAAGCGTCGAGTCACTGCGGCCAATGCGGTACAGTCGCACTACATAGTTTGCTTACAAATAGTCAATATCGTTTTCTTCACTGTGAAGTTCGCAGCTTGAGAAATTTGATGCCCTCAAACTTCATGAGGAATATATCGGCTTCCCAAAACATGTCTGAATACAAACGCTGACTCCACACTACAAGCACACGAATTAGGGCGCGTAACTTTTTCACTTTTCATCGTCCGGACGGAGAGGCCGTACGGACTTTTGTAGGGTTACAGTGTTCGTCTAGTTTCGTGAGTAAGTTCGTAAGACCCCTTGCGACGTCGCGATCGTCCGTACGAGTTCTGACACTTTTCTGCTTGTTCATCGTCCGTTCTACGCCCCTGGCGTCGTCCGGACAGCATTTCGGACCGTCCGGAACTCCTGCAACGTCATTGGTGCGCGAAGCACAATTTTCATCAGTTCTGGCGACTCGGTTTCCCGCTCGCCAGAACCACATTGGGAGGGAAAGGCAACACAGAAGTTCCACAATCGTCCGAACGGGCACACAGACACACAGCACCAAAAAAGGGGAACTCACTACAGTCTGGTTTTTTTCTGGTCCAAATGCATGCATGCGAAGCGGCCGATTTGCTGACGAGGTAGGTTAAAAGCGTAACTTTTTCGCTCAAGATGCAGTTGTCGCAACTGCAAAAAAGTGTCATGATAGGGGTACGGACGCTTCATCGTCCGTACCACATCCCCAAACGTCCGGACGGAGCTCTGTTCGGGCGGTTTGGGGCCTCCGTCCGGACATTTGACTGAAACGGAAAAAGTTACGCGCCCTTACATCAATCACAACACATAACCCAACAAGAACAATCAGGGGTAGGAAGACTGGCAAGTCAGCTGGTGTTCCATGATGCCTTGCCAGCATTCCTGCCCCTGATGCTTTGGCCTATTTTAGCTGGCCAGTGAGAGTCTAACCAAAGCTACCGTATCCAGACACACGCACCAATGAAAAGCCCTGAAGCCGATGACACCCTGCAATGCCAGAGCCATCCTCAAGGCAATGAATGATCCCTCAAGCAGCGGCAATAAAAGCCTGCATCAAAACGAGTTCAAGCAGCACCAGCAGCCCCACCACCACGGCAGTGGCGCATCAAGCAGCAGCGTGGCAGTGAGGTCCTAAACAGCAGCGGCGGGCATCTTGGCGCCCATGAGCTGCCCGCCCCACGTCACACCTGCTGCGCTGCTGCCCGCTAGCACAGCATACCCGCTTACCGCAGGCGGCTGCTGCGCTCCCCCCTGCTGCTGCTGCCCCCCCTGCTGCTGCTGCCCCCCCTGCTTCTGTCCCCCCTGCCTGGCAGCGCGCCCGAATGCGCGCATCAGCAGCTCCCGCCCCATGCGCCTCCCGCCCTGCCCGTTCCGCGCATCCCCCGCGCTGCCTCCGCCGTTGCGCCCGCCGCCGCTGCTGGTGGGCGGAGGCGAGGAGGTGGGGAGCACGGCGAGCAGCGCGTCGAGGGTGGCGGCGTCCGCGTTCTCGAGGAACGCGTCGAGGCGCGCCTCCGCATGCAGCAGCCACCACCCCGCGCGCTGCTGCCAGTCCGTCGCGGCGAGCGACAGCGCGAGCACGTTCGTCGCGGCGGAGTCGCATACGGCGCCCTTCACGATCGCCAGCGAGTCGGGCGGACCGCCCGCCGCGTCCACCAGCAGCGCCTCGCCGAGCAGGTTGTAGTTTCCGGTCGAGTTCCTGGAATGGGGGGCAGGGGACGGGACGAGGGGAGAAGCAATGAGCTCGACGAATTAGAAGCTGAGAAGCCGCACAGTCTACTGAGAAGAATCTGGGTAGACCGTGAACCGAAGCGACATCGCGAAAATGGGAAGTTCGGAAAGCAACTCAAAATACACTCTTCCGCAACTTTCCCGATATTTTTTGCCCGGCATTTTTTAGTCAAGATTTTAAAACTGCATGCCGACCGTCACTTACAAAGCAACTTCCCAGTCACTCTTCCGTCTCTAACTGTACACGTTGGGGCAACTGACAAAGTATACAGTAAAGCAACATTTCCGTCAACTTTGAGCAATCTGTGCGAAAGTGCCATGACGACGCCACGTGGCGTACGCCGTACTCTAGATGAAACTCAGACACGCTGACGTGGCGATTATCGTACTCTACGACAACCGTCGGATTAGAATCTGGTCCGACGCACGAGATACTGCGATGTGGACCAATCGTGGCCTGCGATTTGGTGTACAGTAACAAATAACGATTGGCTGGCGATTTCTAGAAAAATCCTTGCGACGCATTTAAATGACCCGACATTAGCAGAAGTTCTACTGTAATATTTTTGTTTCTCTTTACAGTATACTTAGTATTCACAACGCACACAAACTGTACACTTTTTTTTATTCTACACCTACGCCTAACTTATCCTGCATTGCTAGGTTTCTACACCTGCATCTCTGAAAGAAGTAAAACTCATCAAGTTAGGAAAATGTCAACTGGAAAAACAGACATGGACTTGTTAACAGCAAACCAACATTGCGTTTCCAACACTCACCATTGGGGTTAGTAATAATGGAGAACGCTTCAATGTTGGGAAATATACATACTGCGATACTGGTTGACGATAAGCCTGCAATAACAGGTACACCCTTCAAAATACGCATGTGCGAAAGTCGAAACTTATACTCCTGCAAGAAAAAAAGGTAAGCGATGACGTTCACATCTCTGAAACCTGCACACACAAGGTTGCTGTTAAGCACGTCTCTGAGCTTGCTACGGTAGGGTTAGTGATAACCAGTTCGTGATAGTCAGTTGCAGCGCTCTAGCCACGGCAGTTAAGCATGGCGACAAGTGAGATGCTGCACACTGGTAGTTTTCGAGACTAAGGCAAAGGAGAAGGATGATTATTAGGGTTTGGTACAAGGAGTATAACCTAAGGGGTTGTACCCCACTGTGAGTACCCCACTAACAGCCTAGCCAAACTACAACATATAGCTATATGTTTGATACACCCCCATAGGCAACGTGGGGGAGAACAGAGGGTCACAAGACCAGTCGGGAAGTACAAAGCAAGCTCAGGGTGGATCACAACGTCACCACACACTCTGAGCACAAGCAAAGGGCCACAAGGCCAGTTCACATGGAGAGACATATATGCAACACAAACAGCACAGTGATCTCTACCTAGCAAAGCAAGCATGCAGGTATATATATAGATCACAGTACAAGCAAAGCCTACAGCAAGTGAAGAAAAGTGGGCACAAGCCCTAGCATAGTGCAGAAACGCTGATGATCACCAGACTGAAGTGCCTTGGTGAATATATCAGCAGTGTTGGCCCGAGTGGCCACGTAACGCAGACGAAGCTGACCACGCTGCTGCAACTCTCGAGCCAGGAAGTAACGCAGAGCGATGTGCTTCGTTCTGTGCTCCAGTCTGTGCTCCTCACACAAGGCAATGGCTGCCTTGTTGTCGACGTACAGCACTGGAGGGGAACGAGGCCGCTCTCCCAAGTCGGTCAGCAGGTAGGTGAGCCAGCGTAACTCCTGTGCAGCCATGGCTGTGGCGTAGATCTCAGCCTCACAACTGGAGCTGAGAACTGAAGACGAGCGTGTAGAACGCCAAGAAACCGAACCAGAGCCAAGGCTGAAGGTGTAACGCTGTGACGACCGCTGCGTAGCCTGGTCGTCAACCCAAGAAGCGTCTGAGTGCCCAGTGAGGACAACGTCGCTCCGTCCTCCAAGCACAAGCCCCATGCCCGATGTACTGCACAAGTAGCGTAGCACCCTCTTAGCAGCATCCATGTGCACCTTTCGGTGCCGACCAGGAGCCACGTAGCGAGCCAGAAGGCCAAGAGGGTACGCAAGGTCAGGACGAGTGCAGGTCATCAGGTACATGAGGCAGCCCACTAGCTCTGGGTAAGGACCACTCGGCTCTACGGACTCGTCCGAAGGTGGAGCTGAGAGCGAGTGACCTGTAGCCAGAGGAGTGTGCTGTGCCGAGGACCAGGTGAAGCCGAAGCGCTGAAGGACCTGCTGCACCATGTGTGACTGAGTCAGTGTGATGGTGCGGCGTGCTCTGTCCCGGGTGATCCGCAAGCCAAGATAGCTTGTCAGCTCACCCAGGTCTGTGCACGTGTGTCTCTTCTGCAGCTCCGACTTTACCAGGGCGAGAGCCTCAGTGTCAGCAGTGGCAAAGACCAAGTCGTCGACGTACACGAGGATGTAGAACGGCGGCAGCGAAGTGTCGGTGCGCAGAAACAGCGACGGGTCAGCAGTCGACGGAGCAAACCCAAGAGCCGCAAGTGTCGTCCTCAGTGTGTCGTGCCACTCACGTGGCGCCTGGCGGAGACCGTAGACCGGCCGCCTGAGGCTCCACTGGGTACCAGGAGGGAACGACCCAGTGAAGCCAGGTGGGCGGCGCAGCCAGATCTCCTCGTGCAGACTGCCCTGTAAGAAGGCTGTGCTGAAGTCAAGAGAGTGAAGCTCGTAGTCACGCTGAGCGGCAACGTGCAGCAGCACCCGAAGAGTGGTCATCTTCGGGGTGGGGGAGAAGGTCTGGAAGAAGTCTACTCTCTCTCGCTGACTGAAGCCTCGTGCAACGTAACGCGCCTTGAAGACAGGCGGAGAACCCGGCGGCCGCTTCACCCTGAAAATCCACATGCCACTGAGGATGTTCGCCACAGGTGGGGGAACCTCGTCGACGTAAGTGCCTGTGGACTTCCAGGATGCCATCTCTGCGTCCATGGCTGTCTGCCACTAAGAGGAGTACTCACCCGCGATCGCCTCAGCGTAAGAGCGCGGGGTCGGGATGTCTGGTGCATCCGGGTCTCCCTCAGGGGCAAGCAGCATGGCCACGAGATGAGGCGCAGCGGCTGCAAAACACTCAAGGTCCTCATGCCTGTCCTCAAGGACGTCCGTGCCAAGAGCACACTCACCCCCGACGGACGGAGGACAGACAGACTCAGACTCAGCAACAAGACTAGCAGCGTAGTCTAGACGACAGGCAGCAGCAAAGTCAACCAGCTCAGCGACAAAGGCAGACGCAGCAGACGACTCAAACGACGGGTCAGTGACAACAGTGGCTAGCAGACGCGTGACAGTAGGGTGCTCAGCACGAAACCGGTCAGACTCAGGGTCCGGTACAACAGGCAGAGAAGTCGCAGGAGGAGACGGCAGAGGAACATGCTGCGGAGAGGAAGGACGGCGGACTATAAGGGAAGGGCCGGGGACAGCCGGCGGACGCTGACGAGGAACACGACGACTGGAACGACCAGAACGGACAGGCGAGACAGGACGCGACGCAGGCTCACGACGCTCAGCAAGGCCCCCTGTCTGCTCAGCGTAAGGAGAAGGAGCAGGCAGAGGTGAGCCAGGCTGTAACGGAAGACCAGTAGACGACGGGAGGCTAAGAACCTGACGAAGTACGGAGTCAGGCGGTGGCAGAGACGACGGAGACGGTGGAGCAAAGAACAGGCGCGGCTGTGCAGTGCCACCAGCACCAGCAGCTCCAGCACCCTCAGCAGCTTCAGCACCTCCAGTAGCTCCAGCACCCTCAGCAGCTCCAGCACCTCCAGCAGCCCCAGCACCTCCAGCAGCTCCAGTACCTCCAGCAGCTCCAGCACCTCCAGTAGCTCCAGCACCCTCAGCAGCTCCAGCACCTCCAGCAGCTCCAGCACCTCCAGCAGCTACAGTACCTCCAGCAGCCCCAGCACCTCCAGCAACTCCAGCACCCTCAGCAGCTCCAGTACCCTCAGTAGCACCCCCAGAACCGGCACCTCCAGTCCCAGGGTCTCCAGCAGTAGCACCCTCTGGCTCAGCAGCACCTCCAGCCACAGCAGCTCCAGTACCTCGAGTACGAGCACCTCCGGGACCAGCACCACTCCCAGCTCTAGTGACGTCAGCAGAAGTACCTCCAGCGGCAGAGCCCCGAGCTCCAGAAGCGCGACCCTGACGGCGACCGTACCAGTCGTGCAGCTGCTGTGAGGTGAGAGGCACACGCGGACGAAGGCGGCTACTCCAAGGAGACCGCGCAGCAGCAGACTCAGAACCCTCACGCGTCGCACCCCCAGACTCAGTACCCCCAGGCTCCTCACGCTCAGGCTCAGCACCTCCAGACACAGCACCCCCAGGCTCAGGACCTCCAGTCTCCTCACGCTCACGCACAGCGCCCCCAGACTCCGCACCTCTCGGCTCAGCACCTCCTGGGTCCTCACGCGCAGGCTCTGCACCCCCAGGCTCAACACCCCCAAGCTCCACACCCCCAGGCCCAGCACCCCCAAAGACAGCACCACCCCCAGCAGGACCTGAGTCACCAGTGACCTCAACAGGCGCAGGCACGGGAGGGTCTACCTGAGAAACACCTGAAGGAGCAGGACCTGGCGCGGGGAGGGGGTCTACCTGGGGAGGACCTGGAGCGAGAAAGAGCGGCGAAGGGGGGCGAGGGGCAGTGCGGTAGGTGTAGTTATGAATGCAGCAGATCACCCTCATGGAGGTGGTGAAGGTCGCGCTCCGATTGGTCGTAAAAGACCATTAACTCCTTGGGGACGTCCTACACTTGGAAGAAGAAATAGGCCACGTCATAAATATAGCGAGTCCTTAATCCTACGTCGTAGGAAACATGCATAATATATAGTCAATCATCATAGCGCATAGCGCATTATAGGATAATAAATTTGCAATGGGACTGACTCGTCAAAGGTGACGTCCTGAGACGGAAAGACACGGCGCGAGGCGGGGTCGTAAAACTGCCAGCCAGGCGCGTCAGGGACAAAGCCAAGGAAGACGCAGGGAATGGCGCGAGCGGAGAGCTTGTCCACGGTGGTATCGCGGACAAAGGCACGAGCACCCCAGACTCGGAAACGCG